TTATCTCATCTAATCAAAAATCGGACGGAAGACCCACTCGTTGCTCGCAACGAGATCACATCTAGTTATTATTATTATTTTTTTTCCCATTTTTTGTCCAAGCGATTTCTCAGAGATGGCTCAATGGATTTTCTTGAAACTTTCAGGGATTATGTAGAATTAAATAAACTAAGAACATTTTGAAGGATTTTGCAAAATACACTTCCGGTCGTCAGATATGTCCGATTTCCGTTTTTTCAAAAGAGTTCATGTCCGGACGTTTTCTCAGAAACGGTAAAAGATTAAGACACCAAACTTTGAGGGATTATAGACCATGACAAGTAGGTTTGTGGAATATCTTTAAATCCGTCAGCCGTCACTTCCGGTCGTCACAGGAAGTGATCAAAGAAATCAAAAATTTTAACTTTTCTGTTTTTGATTAAATCTTGCATGACATTATTGCATCTGTTTTGTGGTTTCGAAATATGTTGGTCCCACCGGAAACAGAAACGTCAACTTCCGGTTATAAGCGAAAAACTACATAATTTGAGTATTTTACTTTCCCATAAATATCGCTTATAGATGAAGTATTTGAAATGATTTTTAGATATGTTATTTAGACTGCTAATGTCTAGAGTAACGTCAAATATCTTGGTAAAATTCACTTCCGGTCGCGTGTTTTACTGTCCGCAAAATAAGAACTTGTCAAAGTGAGATCTCAAAAACGGTAAGAGACTAAGACACCAAAATTATATGAGTAATAGAACTTAATGAGTGGGCAAAATCTTTTGGGTTAAGAGCGTCAGCCGTCACTTCCGGTCGTCACAGGAAGTGATCAAAGAAATCAAAAATTTTATCTTTTATCTTTTGAAATAAAACTTGCATCATATAATTGAATCTCTTTCACAGTTTCTATATGTGTTGGTCTCACTGGAAACAAAAAACGACAACTTCCGGTTATAAGAGAAAACTATGTAATTGGGATTTTTAACTTTCCCAAAAATATTGCTTATATATAAAGTCTTTGAAATGGTTTTCATATATTTTATTGAGACTGCAATTACCTAGTGAGACGATAACCATCTTATGAAAATGCACTTCCGGTCGCGTGTTTTTCTGTCCTCAAATTGAGATTTTGTTCACCAAATTGCTCAGAAACAGTACATTGCTGAAGTCTAAAACTTTCAGAACTAATAGTCAGTCCTCAGTTTATCTACATCATGTAAAAATCGTACGTTGCCGTCACTTCCGGTAGTGACAGGAAGCGATGAAAAAAGTGAATTTTTAAAGTTTTTCTTCCTTTTACAGAAATGTTTGGCTAATGCGAATGTTAAGTAGACCATAACCATGCAAATTATTTTCACCGGAAGTGCCAACCGAAAACCCGGAAGTTGTCTCAAACATGAGTAGTTTTTCGTGGAAACTTTTAAGGATGATCAGTTGTGAATAATTTAGGTGTAGAATGAACATTTTATTCGTTTGGAGCACTTTCGTTCACGACGAAGTACATAAAGAAAACAGGAAAGTAATTCCGTTTGTTTTTACTTGTATTTACATATCTTTGGAAGCCTTGAGATAACTTTTGTTAATTATTTAGAGTAATCTTATTGAGAAGATTCTGTTTGTTTTTCAAAGAAGTCAAGAAAACGGAAGACCTGTTATTGCCTAGGCAATAAGTATCTAGTTTATTATTATTTTTTTATTTATTTATTTATTTTTCTTACATAAATAGGGAATAATTCAATATTTAAAGTGACAGTACGGCGCATCTCATCAAAAAACTGACTAGATAAAATTTTCCGACAAGATTTGGAATTTTTTTACTACTCATAAATGTATAAACTTTTACAATTAAATAATTTGGATTATTTCATTAAAATTAATAGTTATTTATGGGACGTAAAAATATACAACGCAATGTGTTCGGGGTTCCACATTCAATGCTATGCACGCATGCGTAGTTTTCATAAACAAAACAGCATGGTTAGAGAGGGAAGCCCGGTAGGCCTGCTACATTGACAAAGTCGACCAAAAATAAAAAGAAACTGAAAATAGAACTTGAAAAAGCAACTTTCCTGACTAAAATTTAGTTTGGGAATTAATATAATCGCAGGATAAGGAAGAAACGGGAACTCGGCGACACTCACGCAGGGCTCTCGAAGGTTCTATTCGACAGGTTTGTTGATACTTGTTATCATTTCTCATTTTTCCATCGCTTTCAAAGAAAAAAAATAGTGTAAACGTAAACTCAACATAAAAATACACCTTTGACTTCTAAACATTGTTGCCATTTGAAATGCTTTTTTTTTTTTAACTGTGCAGAAAAATTTTTTGTTTGACATTTGCCGCGATAACGTATGATTAGTTGATTTTCCTTTCTCGGACCCCAATACACAAAACGTCAACATTTGTACTTTTAATTCTGTTAAATTCTCCTGAATGCAGACTAAAATCTTTACGATTATTATTTTATCAGAAAGTTATGATAATTTGTTTTTGAAAATTGCTTTTACCTAATATTCATTATAATTGTAAACTCTACAGTGTAGGCACGTGCCGTTTTAGAATTCACGTGGTACAAATAAACAGATCTAAGATTGCTGCAGTTCGTACGACCCTTGATTTTCCGGCAGATTCTAATTACGTTAATTTTGTTTGAGTAGAGAATATTTCTGTTTCTCAAACTGCTTACATCAACTTTATACCTTATTTCTTAAAGACATATTGGGTAACTTTGAATGAAAAAGCACACATTTTGCAGCCGTACTGTCGCTTTAAAGCCAAGTTTATTTACTTTAATGTGTTTTAATTATGAAGTATTGAACCATAAATGTTGCCCTATTTCGTTACCACTTGATGTTGCCAACACTTTATGATTTTTTGTGTTTTGTGGTTTTAATTTTTAATTTTACTGCAGTCAGGAGTACAAATATTTTTTATAATTATCAATGATCATCATCTATCTTTAATAAACAATATATTGAAAAAATGCTTGATACTATTTGATGCTTAAAACGTTATGTCTATCAACTAATTACAGACATTTTACAGTCAATAGAGAAAAGTTTTCATCACTTAACACATATTTTTAAAAACAATGTATATACATGTACATGTATATTACACATTGCAAATAATCGTGTTTTGAAGTCTTGAAAATCTGAAAAACTTGCCGTAAATGATAAAAAATATCAAACGACGAACTGATTTACAAACTAAGAATGGGTTATTTTGTGATATAATTTTCAAAACAATGTTAAATAAAATACATATCAGATGTTAGGAGTGCAACACAATAATGTAACATAGGGTCACTTCAAGTAGTATTTTTTGTAAGAAAACTTGTATGTCAAAATTCTCTTTTGGCTTAATTTTAAAAAATTGACTTAAATGGACAAAAAATGATTTGGGGAGAATTTTATTGTTTCATATTTCTTTCATATTAAATTTTTCAAACCAAAATTGAAAAAAATGATGTAAAATAACAATCTAAAATCCAAATTTTTTTCCATATATACAGGAGATGAAATTCAATGAAGGTTTAGTTCTAATCATTTATATCCCTGATACTATTTTGAAGCATAAAAAGCTGTAATTTCTTTTGACTACCGTATAACGGGTATTTTCTGCCGTTGTCCAATTTTTGCGGAATTTTGCGGATAGGACAAATCCGCAAAAATTACAATCGCAAAATATTTTTCAATATTCATATAGATATTTTGTATATGCAATTATGATAAGTGGTGCGTGTGTCTGACAGGGTCCTCATTAACGCAAGAACCTACGTACTGGACGCAGCAAAATTATTTGGAACGCAAGGTTTTTAAAAGCGATGCGTCCGCAGACTCATGAGTGGTCATATCCTCGTTAGCAAGAAAATTTGGGTGTCATCGAAATTCGAAGATTTTAGATGTTAGGATTTATCCAAAACATATTGAATCAGAACCTTCCTGTAAATAATATCATAAGTTGATACAAAAACATCTTTACTTGTACCTATTTCGCAATTATTAATCCGGCCAAACTCCGATAGCTGCAAACAACACATGGTAGCTTTTCTTGTTTGAACACTTTTTAATCTTGTGTTTTATATTGAGACAATAATTACTGCTTGTATACACAGTGTGGCTTGATCGTCTCGTGAATTTCACCTAATGCAGACGACTGACAGGATTAGTTACGGCTCAATGCACATGACACCTGTGATTGTTAACCGTCAACTTTAGGGTACTAGATTATGCAACTGTTTGTTTTAGCTTAAAATCTAAACACCAAATTAATTTTGATGGCAGTTAATTAGAAGCGTATTTTAGAATATGGCTTGGATGCATTTATTATCATTATCTATATATTTAAATATTCTAATAGATCGCATAAAACGTCTGTTAGAATAAAGATTTGTATTGTTGTTTGGGTGGACTGACACTGCATTAATTCATTTCAATTGGTATTCGAAATATTTTTACAAAAACTAACTAAAAGATAGTAGTTTAATTAAGCTTAATAGCTTAATACCAGTTCTCATACAGCTTTGATCAATATGTCTTAATGAATTTATAAACGTAAACATGACAGCGTTCTGATAATTCATGAAGTTTAGTGATCATACCCCGTAAATAAATTTTTGCGGTATAGTGCAACCGCAGAAATTGAAAACGCAGAAATTAATTTGCTACCTTTTAGGGGTTAAATCGCAAAAATTTCCAACCGCAGAAAATACCCGTTATACGGTATATATTTTTGAAAATACGATATAGTGATATTTTCTTTTTTTTCAAATAAGGTTTTACTAATAAAAATTATGAAACTTTTTTATCCAATTGTATATTCTATTGCAACTTCAGGAATTTTAACTAGACCGCATGTACAATATGATGATGTAAGTGAAAAATATGTTATGGGTAGTTGAATTTTTAAAAAAAAAAAAAAAATTCAGTTTGGTGGTCATTTTTTTATTCACCCCTATATAAGCTCAAATACTTAACCATTCTAAGGCGTTAAAGCGGTCAAATTTTCAACAGATATGTGTCAAACGGAAATGCGCGACATTTGCGGAGCTCAGTCTAAAACCAGGCGTGGTCAGACCCGGGGGATGGGGACCGTGGGCAGATTGGCAGCCTTGCTCCAGGACTTGTGGGACAGGGCTAACTTACAGAAGGAGATTATGCAACAATCCAAGGTTTTACCGGGTTGAAAAAAATAGTTTGATATCTTTCGCTTTTTCAAAGCCCTTTAAAGTTCTTATATGTTGTAGATTTACATTTTCGGCATGGGATTAATGTACATTCAGCGCTAGATTACAAATTTTTTCGCGTAAATTGTTTGTACAGTTTTCCTATAGCACACTTTATATATTAAATGACAATCCAAGAAATCAATATAATTTTTTGACTGCGGATTTAACCAAAATAATTTGTCATTCCATGACGTTCTAACACCGCCGAAATAGTTCATATCATATGCACCCGTTTTATATATGCTGTATCTATACATAGTATGAGGTTTATGATCTTTCTTTCTTTAAAAAGCATTATTTTCAGGGCATAAACTAAAGTTATTCTGATAATCCATTTTATTATATGATTGAAAAAATCTTATCTCTCTGATTGGCTGAGATCCAACAATGTAGAAAAAAATACTACGTTATATTCACCTGCACGTGACCTTCGAGTTGAATATAAGGATTCATTTTCTCTACGTTGGTCTAAAAATAGATCAGGAAAGAAGATGGGTGAACAAGGCGGGCGAAGTGCCTATAGTGCGACAAATATGAAGTGAAAAAATAAAATCTCAATTATATCAAAATTTTCTTTGATATTTCATCTAACATTAAAGTATACTTGATGAAAAATCTCAACAATTTACAAAAATCTCACAAAGACTGAAATTATTTGCCTACGAAATAGCATACACACACTAAAGAGGGCAAAAAGGATCATTTTCTCATACTTAAACAAAATTTTTCGATATGAGTGGGTCTTTGCTCCATTTTTTTTAAATTTAATCCTAAAAGTTTGCATAAAAATATACATGTTTTGGTTTACAAAAACATGGAGCAAAGACCCACTATACCTTAAAAGTACACTTTTATGAAAAAGCATTCGCATCTTTCCGAGAAATACTTGAAGTCCATTAAGTCAAGGGTCATATCACAAACATGATTTAAATGCCACTATTCATCAAGGGCTGTTTAGCGTAGTGGTTAGCGTGTTAGTCTCAAATTAATAAGATACTCCGGATTTTTATTGTTAGGGGTTCGAATCCCACGAATATCATTTTATTTTTTAAATAAAAGAATATTTTTTCCGAGATCTTTTTTTCTCAGAAAAGTTTTGTTGATCATAATTTCATAAATTTCAATAATGAGAACTTTACTTTAAATACTTAATTTACAAATTGAATATGATTTTTTAAATATCTGAAGCTATAGGCATTCTGCACGCCTTGTTCACCCATCTTCTTCCAAATTGATACAAATAGTTTTAGAAAGCTATTTCACTTGCTATCGACTTCCAATCAGATGCACATAACATAAGTAAAAATATATAATTTGGAATGGGTTTGGGGGGGGGGGTGTGCAAGGGACCCGCTAACAATTTTTTTTCTGAACTTAAATTTTTACTTCTAATCTAGACTCTGAATATTCATTGAAAGGCTAATTGACCTTAATCTCCACCCCAACCCCAAAACAAAATTTTAAGTTATAAAAGAATTCTCTATGTGTGGGGGTTGATCAAAGATTTTATTAAGCTGTCATTTTCCCTGATAGTACCCCCCTTTCAAAATAATAAGACTGGTTATGTTTATTTAACTCTGCTTCTCTCATTGCATTTGGCTATGACTTCAGCAAATGTAAACAAGTAAGAAGACATGATCTGCTTAACGAGTTCGTCTAATTTAATCATTGAATCATATAATAAAACAATTATTGCTGTTTTTCAGTCAATACTATGATTTAGCCACCTCCTCAGATAGCTAAGTCATCGTATTGACCTCAAAAATGGCAATAAATGTAAAGTGTATTAAAATGGGGAATTTATCATGTTGTTAATTTTGGCATTTATGTCCATCTAGTAAATTCAGTTTCATAAATATATATTAAGATGTTTTGTAATGAAATTGAATTAGTATTGTGGATTGGAAGAAATCTCAAATCATCCAATCGAATCATTTTAAATGTAGCCAATCAGCATTGACATTTCTGCCAATCAAATGATTAGAACTATTAACCAATCTGTACTAATGGAGCAGATGCAAAATATATATAAATACTTTTGGTGTAACTAATTGTTGGAGTTATGTGACTTGGGCTAGATTCCTGGGCTGTGTCGGGAACAGAATTGTTAGTTAGACCACTCAGTTCAGGGACCTAGTTCCCTAGTGTCTTTGTGACTAGCTATACTGTCTCGGTGACTTTAGCTTATATCTGTAACCAAAAGAAATGCAGTGTCTGTGTAACTAGGTAGTGTATCTTGGTGATTTCAGCTTGTGTTTTAGTGACTTTGTGATAATGTGTTTTCAGATAGATGCAGGTTGTGTAGGGAAACAACAGAATTGTTAGTTAAACCAGTCTGCAGCTAAGTGATAAGTTTATAAAGTAAAGTTGGCACAATTGCTTTTAATGTAGTTGATACTTTTGCTGTAATTCGTTGATGTTTAGTTTAAAATTATCATATAGATAGGTTCTAGGAAAAAGTATATATAGCGGATATTTCAGTCAGTTGTTCTGTTAGTGTCCTTGATATTACTGAAGTTGGTTTTGATTTTAAAATATGAACGTGATTCGTAGGAAGAAAACCTGCGCGGACATATTTAATAATCATTTGAGTGAAGTAAAAAAAAAAGTTTTAGTTCTTTTTAATTTTACTTAAGTCCTCTGAACCACCCAGGCTGTGAAGGCGGAGATGACAATGGTTATGAGGCCAGGACTTGCAGTTCCGAGGTTGGTTAATAAATTTAACGGCACTTCCTTGCAATTTCTGAATTTTCTAGAATCAGTTCTTTGAATCTAATATAGTAAACAAAGTTAAAATGTGATATTTTAATAAACACTTATATAGAGTTATATTTTTAATGATGTGTATTAATTGTAGCCCTGCCACAATGAGAGTTCAGACATGAAAACTCTTATAAATCAGCGGGCGTCTGAAACCTGCAGTAGATTGTTAAAGAATAACGTATTAGATTCCAAAAAGTACACATCAGTTGGAAGAATAATGGACTGGCATGGTAAGAAAGAATACAATTTGCTACACTAGACAAAATTGCTAACGCACCACTTGTTATTCTTATTTGTGAATTGATCATTTGCCTGATCGGTACTAGTACATAATATATGCCATCTTTTCCAAAACAGTTGGATTGAGAAATGTCTTCGTGTCATGATAAGACCATAAAAGGACCTTCTTGCCCGAAAACCAATTTCCCTACGTGCACTGCGCACCGTTTTTGCCATGATATGAAGTTGATGATTACCGATGGTGGTCCTTGAGGTTGCGACGGGAAACAGTCTTCCACTTAAAAATCAAATTATATACCCTTATTAACTACCATATCTCTTGGTAGTCACCCAGTGCCTTGGTGTTCCTTCAAAACCCTGTTGCCCCAGTTTTGTGGAACAATCTTGAAATTATTGTGTGGTGCTTACTTAATGTCGTCGCTATCTATAGTAAACATTTTTATGATTGTTGATTCATTTACAACAATTTCTCATTAGAGGAATGAATAATCTTTTAATTGTTTTAATTTTTTACACATTTCTCCAAAGGAGCCCCCTGCAGACACCATACTGACTGCCTTAGCACGCTCTTCCAGGGTCAAACGCCGCATACGGTGTAACTTTTTTTCTGAGTTTTCAGTTAGTACAAACAAAAAGAACACTACCACAAAGAAAAAAAAAAGAAATTTATTCCACCAAAAAAGTATGGACACGATTTTGTTTTTTCTATGAAATGGTGACGCTTAAGTAAACATTGTTGTTATTCATCAGTTAAGACATTTAAATGCTTCATTTTTCATTACAGTTATATAATTATATATCAAAAACATCATAAATAAGTTTTGAAAAGAAAAATATGAATGTATCTAAGTGGTGCGTTAGCAATTTTGTCTAGTGTATACCAGACTTACAGTCTATGGATGAAATCTTAAAGTGCACACGATTTCTTCCAAATGTACATAATAGAGCTGGGCAATAATACCGATATTCCGCTATATTGCGGTACGATGACAAAAAATAGAGTAGCCCCTTCACGGTAACTGCGGTACTACTCTTTTGCAGGGCAAAATAAAAACGTTTGGCGAAATTTTTGTTGACAGATAATCAAATGACGTATATTAAAAAATCACTTTTACGTCACATTTCACCAAACTATATTATTTTGCCCTGCAAAAGAGCAGTACCGCAGTTACCGTGAAACAGTCAAGTACCGATATTCCGACAAAATGTTTGGACTCGGATTTCTATAATAAAATATGAAGTATAAACTGTCAGAATCGTTTGCAATCGTGCCAAACAGTAAAGGAAAAGCTGTTGCAGTGAGTTTATTTTGATGCATAACTGTAATTAAATCAACAAAATATTTTTTCTTGGTCATTTCTCATAGTTATTTACATTCTGCATTTAAATGGAAATTAATAAATTAAGAAAATACCATTTTAATTTTCGTTGAAAATATTGCAATACATATCGCAATACAGTTAGAAATATCGCAATACGAAATCTCTGGGCAATACCCAGCCCTAGTATATAACAACTTACTGTAAATAAAAATTGCAAAAAAAAAATTACCACTATAGAGCATATGAAATGCGAAGTGTCGTGTGAAGCGGTTCCGGATTACACTACTCCAGATTTTACAAGGTTTGGGTTAATGCCCCAGGGTACTCCATGTGAAGGACCCACTGTATTGTTGGAAAAAAACAAGCTTGGCAAAAGAACCTACAGATGTTTGGACGGCTTTTGCAGGGTAATACAGTAATAACAAGCAATTATAACAAATAAGAATAAAATCTAGCACTGCTGAATTTTAATTTTAATGGTTCAAACTGCTGTGATCTTAATATTTTGCTATTATTCTGTATAACCTTAGTTTTTTGGCTGTGACGGTAAGCTTAACGCCGAGTATGATGATTGTGGTGTCTGTAAGGGAGATGGTTCTACATGTGACGTAGTGGAAGGGATTTATAAAGAGACTATTGCACAAGGTAAGATGACATCATTACGACCCTAAAAAATAATTTTTTTTTCTACGTTTCTTATTTAAAGGAAATCTTTGCAAATCTTAAGCTATTTTAAGTAAATTTACTTTAAGAAATTGAGTGTCCCTTACCCTTTGACTTTTAAGTTTCGTCTCTTCTACTACACCTTTAAATCCTGTACCTACCCCCCCCCCCCCCCCCCCAGCTCAGTCAGTAGTCATTAGTCACATAGCATCCTGGCCTGGCAATAATACAGAAGTAAAATAAAAGTTAGAGCTTGGAGTTGCTTTTCTTTATTATATAATAACCATCTTACTACATACTGCTTTCAGGTTCAAGAAACCTTATAACGGAGATACCTGTTGGGGCGTATAACATACAGTTCTGGTTTGATTTTTTTAAAATGCGTTGGAACCTCATAGGTAAGGCCTAAGTGATTAGTCTTTATTGCAAACTAATGTTTTTAGACAAGCCAGAGAAAGTTTCTTCTCCAAAGCAAACAAATGTGTTTTCAGAATCGATTTTTGAGACTCCTATTGTAAAATAATTTCATGTATATATTATATTTTACATTATACAAACTTATAATATTTCATTCCAGAAATCTACAACAAAGACGGACTTGCAATTATCTCTAGCTTGCTTAAAGGAATTTGGGATACGACAAAAAACCCTTTGAATTTCGCCGGAACGTACTGGACTTATGTTTTCTCGAAACAATACGTGTATGCGAAAGGACCAATCACTGAACCTGTCATAGTTAAGGTAAAAGTCGTATCTCAATACCTTTAACTATTCCTTAACATTACTGAAAATCACATTCAAACATTTTTCCAGATGTTCACTACGAGTTGTATGTTTTCAGCACTACCAATACAGGAACAATAAAAATACTGGCATTAGCTTTGCGTATGCTTTACCCAAATATGGTAAGTGGAGAATGTATCTGGAAAATTGCAATAGACATTTTAAAAACATTTTCAATGTTACATAACTGCCTCAGCTTTATGCTAATTTACATCAATAACATATTAGATATATACACCAAGTAAATCATTTTAAGGAAATGAATACAGTATCCAAATGCTTGGAAAGGTAGATTAGTGCGAAGTTTAATTTTGTAAATATGAAGAAATCAAAAAGTTAACCTCAAAAGTCGATTGGAACAATACAAATTAAGAGCAGAGCAAACACGTATCTCTGAAAACATCTGAGGTGGGAACAGGTGCAATGGAGGAGTAAGAATTCCTTGTCAACCGATCACACCCACTGTGTGCTCCTTGTCACGATGAAGGTCATCTGTTGACAATTCATCGTGAAAATAATAGCCTTACAATTTGTATGATAAACGTCAATCAACATTCTACTGAACTTAAGATTGTATTTGCTAAAGAGGTCAATGTATCGACCATAGAATTTGCGAAATGTTGACTTTAACCATACTGTTGATATCCTTGTATAATCAACTTATTTGTCAATAATTTGCCTTGTTTTAGAAATTGCTTGTACATAGAACATGCTCTTTTGTACATGGATACAAACTCATTGTGCAAGTGATAATGGCATATTGCTTCTAAATAAGGAAAGTTGATAGAAAAATTGGAGTCATCTCGTTTACCATAAAGTTTTGCTGTAAGGTTGCCATTAATGTCTTAAAATACAAAAGTATTAAACAGATGCATCCATCAGACTCTATGGTGTCTTTCATTTCGAGTTCGAAGGGATATATCAAATCAACGTAAGAAAGAAAATGATTATTGTTAATAGACAAAAACGTCGTTTCTATATCCAAATGTCGAAATAAGGGCCACAACAGAGGATTTCTTTTTTTTTCATATAGAAGTTCTTAATAAATTCTGCTTTAGATGAATATAAAATAGGTGTGCTAAAAACGGGGCGCAATTAGTGCCCATGTGAATTCCAAAAGATCGTTGGAGGACTTAATCTCCAAAAACAACATAGATATTGTCAATTAGAAACTCAAGCATCTTTTTCATATCAACTTCAGATTACTTATGTGTACTATCGGAATGTTTTTTTTAACAAAACAATTTAGGATATGCCGAATAACTAGGTATGTAAATTTTAGGGATGTCAACGAATATTCGAATATTCATTCGATGAGTTGATATTCGAATATGAATTTAAGATTCGAATATTCGGTGTTTTTCAGATTTCCTAAAAAATTGTGCTGTGATTAATAAATTTTGATTAGAACATTGCTGGAATTGTCCCTGTTTAATTTACTAGCGATCAATTTCGAATGCCTGATTTCTTTCACTCCTTTCTTTTCTTATAGAACTACTAAATTATTTTGTTTTGAGTAAGGTGTTAAAGAATTATACAATAATGCTTTATGTACGATACAAAACGTACTTTTATAGTTTTTATAAGTTAAATACGATCAGATCTAGGATCGAGGACAACAAAATGAAAATCTTCTTAGAATGTCTAAAAGACTTGAAGAGTATACTTATCAAAAAAAATTTAATTGATTATTGAATGAATGTCGGATTAAATAGATTCTGTAATTAATATTGTAAAGGGCTCAATTTCAGAATAAATGTGTAAATTACTTGATTATCTCGGGTTGTACATAATCCTGAATTTTTATATTCATAATCGTGAAATTAATTAATTACCTAGGAAAATTATCATGGAAATATTTGTTTATATTTCAAAATCATTATTTCAAAGATTATAATCATATCCCTTATTTAATTAGGCTGATAATTGTTATCAGTAATTAATTACACGTATTTAAATCTAGACAGTATACGACTATCTAGCCTTTGGTAAGGCGACTGGTTTCTCAGTTGGAGCTACTATAAAAACATTTGTTAAAATTATACTTTTCTACATTTAAATCAATTAGTTATTTCAAAAATAGATATCAATGAAATTATTGTACACCTACAAAAGTCTTCGTACAATTTTACTTCTAATATAAGAATACCTACGCCAAACCTTTCATGAGTGTAGGATGATGCATATTTAAAATAAACAAGATTTTATTTATTATATCGAATATTCGAATATATTCGAATACTTTCATTGAATATTCGAATATGAATTATTGACAAAATTGACATCCCTAGTAAATTTATTTTAAAAAACCACTCATACATGAAAACGCTTTAACTCGACATTTAGATAGATTGACGATGTGTTATCAATTAAAAATAGTTACTTAATTTCATATGTAAACTCAATTTATCCCACTGAACTTGAATGAAAAGATTCCACAGAGTCTGGTATATCTGTTTCATATTTGGATATTTTACTAGAAAAAGACGTTAATTGTAACTTAACAACAAAACTTTATGATAAACATGATGAATTCAACTTTTTTTCTCGCCACCTTCCCTTACTTATGTAGCTATATACTTATCCCCGGCAAATGGGGTTGTGACGGTACATAATGTCGTTTTGTACATATTGTCGTCGGCGACAATATGTACCTACCCTCACTGCACATATTGTCATCCATTGGTACATATTGTCGCCGGCTGAAAAATTACACATGTACATATTGTCGCTGGCGACGTTATGTGCCTCACCCTCACTGTACATATTGTCGCCCCACAGATATTGTTGCTTAAAGATTTATTTTATTGTTTTTTGGCAGTTTTGTGAATGTAGTTTGTGTGTGAATCACACTGACATGTTTCGTATGGTATTTCATGCAGCGTGATTGTGATGGTACATTTTGTCGTCCTGTTCATATTGTCGCCGGCGACAATGTGTACCTACCCTCACTGCGCATATTGTCGTCAATCAGATCATGTCGCATGACAATCCACGGCAATGTTCCATATAAATATGACTAATCGTTGCTTAGCTGTTTTTGAGAAGATAATTTTCAAAGAATTTTCCCATATATTCCCATGTTAAATTTTGATTGCGCATTGTGGCCCCACCCTAAGCCCAGTTTGATTTCAAGATACTTGAATCTGCGTTACCTGAATATGCTTCCATATAAACATCACTAATCACGGGCCTACTGCTTTTCCTCAGTGGTGGGTCCAGAAATTTCTGAACGGAAGGGGGGGGGTGCGGTTCAGAATTTTTTTGACAAGCAAAAAAGAATTTGTATGTAAAGTGTGTAACTGTATATGTTGAGTAGATTATTTACATCGTAATTATGAAATTTTACCTGTGGACTAAATTGAGAGTATGCACAAGTTAAACAAACAGAATTTAACAAAGCAAAAAAAAATATAATCAAACCACCGGGGGGAAGGGGGGGGGTGCACCGGTGCTACATCTGTCTGGTTTTTGAGAAGATTTTTAAAAGATTTACTGTATATATTCCTATGTAAAACTTTGATCACCCATTGTGACCCCACCCTACCCCTGGGGTCATGATTTGAACAAAATTGATTTTGTTTTTGTTTGTTTGTTTGTTGTTATAATGTCCATCTCGAGAATTTTTCATTCGTATCAGGTATGTAGACGTCACCACTTGCTAGTGGAGGGCTGCAAATTTAGACCTATACTTGGCAGTCAGGGTCATTGAGCAGTGAAGGATCATTTTCGTGCCAGCACCTCAAAATTGAACGCTATGCAATGAAGCTTTCACATTAGTATCATCTCCTCTGACCCAGTAGTTCTTGAAAAAAAGATTTTGAAAGAATTTTTTTCTAAACATTAGAAATGAAAAACTGTGATCACTTTTCGTAGCCACACCCTTCCCCCGAGGGACATGATCTGAAAAAAAATGAATCTACACTTCATAATGAAGCTTTCGCATAAGTTTCAACTTTTCTGACACAGCGGTTCTTGAGAAGATTTTTAAGAGATATCAGTAAATTTTCACTAATTCTTAACTACTTCCCTTGAAAGAGGACATGGCCTTTCATTTGAACAAACTTGAGTCCCCTTTATCCACGGATGCTTTGTGGCAAGTTTTGTTGAATTTGACCCAGTAGTTCGTGATAAGCTTAAATTGTGAAAAGTTTACAGACAGAGAGACGGTCAGACAAAATGTGATCAGAAAAGATCATTAGTACTGAACGAAAAAACCTAATACATGTATTCAATCTCCAAGTATGTATTACAAGAAAAAAGAATAGGCTGATTTATCAGATATCTCAAGAATTACGGTATCTTGACATATCATAGTAACGTACATCAATCTTGGACACAATTTTCTGACTAAAAATTTTCTCTCTACAGTATTGCGAGTAATGCTGTCTGTCTCCCTCTATGCGTGTGTGTGTGTTTGTCAACCTTTCTCAAGTAAATATTCGTCAAAACAATATATCGACGACAATATATGCAGACCTTGACTGTACATATTGTCGCCGACGACAATATGTGCTGGTGCTTGACTGTACATTTTGTCGTCCATTATGCAGGAGGAAAATAAGGCTCGTCTCGGTACAAATTGTCGCCGGCGACAATATGTACCGATGGACGACAATATGTGCAGTGAGAGTAGGTACATATTGTCGCCGCCGACAATATGTACAAAACGACAATATGTACCGTCACAGGGGTTTATGGCCATTGACAAATAACATGTTGAAACAAGGATATCAACAGCCTTGTTAAATTAATCATTTTGCAAAATCTATGATCGATATTATGACCTTGTCAGCAAATACAATCTGTCATAATTCGAATGCTGATTGACGTTTTGCATATAATAATTGTTAGGCCATTAGTTACACACGGAATTGTCTAGTGTTAACAATTGTCTACTCTAACAACTTGCTTAATCCTCCGTGGAACCTGATCCCACCTCTGATGTTTTTAGAGCTTTGTGTTTGCTCTGCTCCCGATTTGTATTGTTTCAATGGACTTTTGAGGTGATTACTGCTCGTTTTCTCTATAATTCATTGGTAGAACATTAACTGGAACCCGCTATGTGTCTTTGTTTATAAGGGTTTTTACGTAGTTTAGGAATCCAGTGTAGGTTTGGTAATTCAAATTCAATATGATTGTTGGGAATAATAAAACTATTTTAAACAGATTATTTTGAAGAATTTCCTCTTTAGGAATGGAACTTTGAGTATAAATTGAATTACTACTTGCAAAATTAAATGCAAGTTCCTGTCGCCCGCACAGAATATTTTAAAGTGTTTGCGCTGGACTCGCAGCATAAGGAGTTGATCCTGAAGTCGTGGATTCAAATCCACTGTCCAACGTAGAGATCGGTCATTCGGATGAAACCGTATAAAACGACGTCACGTAGAATCTGGCACACAAAAATCCCCCATTGCTCAAAGGCTGCAAGTGCCGAGTACAGGTCTAAATTTGCAGACCTTCACCGGCAAGTGGTGGCATCTCAATATGAGTGAAAAATACTCAAAGGGGCATTGAAAAACCAAATAAAAAAGTCCAATTTCCTTTAAAATATAATGAAAATTGCCTCTCATGTGGAATTTCTGTAGGGGAAATCCTAGTCTAGAGTCATTTCTCCATGTAGGAAATCTTGCTCCAAAGCTACTTTTCCGGGGGGGATATCCTACTCTACAGCCAGTTTTCCGGGGGGGGGGGGAATCATTTTTGAGGGGAAAGGGGTAAGTGTAATCTGGTTCCCATTGATCAAACATTGAAAATGCCAAATAATATCGTGTATTGAAGCGGAACAAAGTGCAAACTTTATCTATAACTCATCAAGAATAGCTCACATACCAAAAATCAGCTCCATATCTACAAGCATTTAGAGGAAAAAAAATACGGAAACACCTTAGAAATTTATATTTAAAAAACTTGATTCCGTCAAAAATGATTGAAGCGGAATGAAAAGCAAACTTGATCTGTAACTCATCAATGTACACTCACATACGAAAAAACAGCTCAATATCTGCAAGCATTTTCACAGGTATGGGACTAGTAAGTGACTTAACGAGGTTCGCTCCTGAGCTTTTGAGCAGATTTTTATCTTAACCTATATTTCAAAAATTCTGGATAATGTTTTAATTCTAACAATAAATTTGGATTCTACAATACCAATTCAACTATATTCAGTTAAAACTTTATGATTAAATTCCATACCAAAAGCATTAAGTGAGGAACTATATTTTGTGGCGGAAGGTTTTATAGAAGAAAATGATCATTTTTTCTCTTTATAAGTATTTAAAGTAAGTTAAGTTTGGATTCCTATTTTTACATGCAGTCTGCACAAAGAGTTATTTTGAGCAAAGAACTGTTTTATACTGGTCCTAAATTATATGTTAAATAAACTGTCATGAATTCTATCAAAATATTTTATAAATATAGCAAATATATTGTGAAAATCAAGAAAAAAATAGCCCTTATTTAAGCTTAAAATTGGAACTATTTTAGTAATATCTAAAAATTAACATCACAGACTCCCACTTTTAGTTTTCTTTTCTGAATATATAAGATACTTTTTACCATTCTTCTTAAATTCGGTCAAATGTCATTACTTTCAAATGATTTTTTTGCTTGTTAAATTTTTAATGCCAGAAAAATGAATTTTTTGAGTGCAAAAAGGTCAAATAATTGAACATGCGGAGTAATTTGAAATTTTTTTCGTTGTCACAAATTTTAATGTGTCTATTCAAGGTGAAATAAGACTATGTTTGTTCCCATAATTTATTTGAAAAAAAAATATTGGAGGAAAACTTTAAAAATTGATTTATGTGTAAGACGTTTTTACAGTGCAAAAAGGTCAAACTAAATGCTCTTTAGCTCCAAAAGAAGCACATTGACCCCCCATTTCTGTTTTAATTTTTAATTAAGCTATGTGTGTAATTTCTAAAAATATACTTGATAAAAAATTCTCATTACTTTTGATGGCAGGATCCAACCCCCTTAAGGTCATTGATATTCACTATATTTTTTGAATGACGCGTTCAGCAGGACACTCAGGAGGAATACATTTCAGCTGCTCGATATGTATGCACTGTACATTTTTAATGGGTTTTTTTTTAATTTTTTTTTTGTATCAAAAAGTTATATTATTTCTTTTGAAGCTAAGACTTGTCAAGGACAATGTGCTAATGGAGGATTGTTTAACACAAAGATCTGCTCCTGTAACTGTCCCAGTGGGTTTTATGGTAAGGTTATACATATATATATGTATATCTTTAATTTTCAGTTGCATGGTTTATAACAGAATTTTCAACAAAACATGGGACATAGCATTATGGCTAAAGAAATTTAAATTAAATTCGTTGTTCGAAATATAATGTATCCCTTACTATTACAATGTCATGTAATACTATTTTATAGAGAGAGGAGTAATACATTGGACATAGTTTAACCAAAAGCACAATAAAAACTATTAATAAAAGTGGATAAATGCCAATATATTAAAAAGATCCTTGAGTAACTTTTATTTATTACGACTGATTTCTTCAACAGGAAACGACTGCAGGAGTCGCTGTAACACATACTGCTACAACGGAGCAACAGTTGATCAGTCCAGCTGCGCATGTCAGTGCAAAGAACACCAGACCGGAAGACAGTGTAAATGTGAGGAAGGGTACGGCGGTGAAGACTGTAAAACGAAATTATAGAACAACACAGCTGACTCATGTAGATAACAATAAAAATAAAACGTTTTCTTCCCTTTTTGTCTATTTTAGTGTAATTTTTATTTTAACTGTCATATATTGATTTCCTGTGATTGCAATTAAACAAAAGACAGCTAACTAAAGACAGCTGTACTTAATACCATCTAGCTTTAACCACTTGAAGCAGTTGAAACAGCTACATGTGTACAAAACTTTCATAACGAAGTCTGACACTTCTTCAGGCCTTTGCCATAAAGGTCTGGATTTGTAGTTAATTCAAAGGGTTCCCCAGCGTGCACATAATCTGTTAAATAATCAGATGATACACTTGAAGTCGATGTCAGCGGTGGTGGTAAAGGGTCAGAACAATTACCATGAACAGTCTCCTAGCTCTTATTTCAGCATCCCATATTTAACTAGAAAAAGACGTTAATGGTTTCCTAACAACAAAGCTTTATGATAAACATGATGACTTCAACTTTTCACTCGTCATCTTCCCTTACTAATGTAGCAATAATATACCCTATCACTTGTACATATGGGTTTATGTCTCGCAGTTGATTCGATACGCAAAAGCGTGCTCTACGTAGGAACAATTTCTAAAACGATGCAAGCTATTGAAAAACATGTTGATGAAACAAGGATATCAACAGTCTTGTTTGAAGTCGTAATTTAGCAAGTGTTATGGTCGTCGATACAATGACCTTGTCAGCAAAAACAACTTATCATTAAGTCAAATGCTGACTGACGTTTTAGTTTACATACAAATTGTTAGGCCATTATTTACACATTGAATTGTCTACAGTTTTTTTTTCTTTTTTACCCGATCATGACAAGGAGCACACGGAGGGTTTGACCGGTCAGCAGGGGATGCTCACTCCTCAATGGCACCTGGTCCAACCTCTGATGTTTATGGAGTTCCGTGTTTGCTCTGTTCCTTATTTGTATTGTCTAAATGAACTTTAAGCTTGAATACTGTTCATTTTCTCCGTATTTCATTCATTACAAACGGTCTGGTCTGATATTCTGTGCCACCAAGGGATAGCTAATGCTATAATAGACGAAATTTTGAAGAAGACACAACCTAATGAAGTGGCCCTGTGCTTATGATGCTGTACCATGCTGTTTGTGTCTGTTTTACTTTGCTATTTTGTTCATCAAGAAATCCCTTTTTAACTGTAGACTAAGATACACTTGCTTCCAACAGCCGAATCTTTTTTTGTGTTGTGCATTATTCAGACACGGCGTTTCTGATTGATTAGCATCGAAATTCTCAGAGAACAAAATCAAAAGTTTATAACCCCTTCTTTAGTGTGAATCCTGTGAATGTAAGTCAACTAATGGAAAACAGGTTTTATAGTACTAAATGTCTGCAGAATGACTGTCAAGTTGAAAATTGCATGTGATACAGTCTCGCCACTATTGTTCTCAACCTCCATTTTAACAATTTAAAAAAAAAAAAAAATCATTCGAAGCGCTTTATCATATTTGGCAAAATGTTTAATCATACTATCATCTTTGTTCAAGATTTGCTGTAACTGAACCAAAAGTCTAATTGAGTTATGCTAGTATTTACGATTTTTATTTTTTTAAAAACTCTATAGTGTTCGTAATAATCGATTAAAGGCAACGAAGTGAATAAAGGATTCGAAGAGACCTAACAAAGGCCATAAGACACAATCCTAATAAAAGATAGTCAAGGTAGGTGTACATGAATTGGCGTATTCAAAATTTAGCGCAATTACTGGGTATGGAGTTGTTGGCGAAATCATGAATTAGCGCTATGCATGTCCGTACCGTATATTATATTTATAAATGATTTCTTAGCGGTATTCATGAATTAGCGCATCGTTGTCTGCGCCAAAGCCGCTAAAATATGAAGCCCGCTTTTTTAAGTACACATACAGTAATTAAAGATCAATTTCTGGTATGTCCCAAGGATAGCCTAAAACGTCAGCCCATGGACGAAAATAAGTGTAATATTCAAAACTGTTTTAGAATACTATCCTACTCTTAATGTAGATCTTGGGGTCAGCTGTTGCAGAGTCTGGCGATGCGTTTCTTTGACGGATATGCCTATCCATTTCGTCCATTGCAAATTAAATGGGCTCAAATCTGGCTATTTAGAAAGCCAAGGCAGGAACAGATGCTTTGTCTTTGCAAGAGTGGAATGCAATTGTCAGACGAGCCGTTTGTGATTTTGTTTGGTCAGACTGAAATATGGCTCTACGTTGGAAAGACCTGTACAGGGAGGACATCATCAGAGTACCGTTATGCAGTCAAAGTCCTCTGAATATGAACAAAATGGTCCTGTTTGTTTGCAATACCGTTGCCAATATCATAACACTACCACCACCAAATGTATCAACCTCCATGAGGCAGTCTTCTGCAAAAGTTCATTACGAAGCTTATGAACCCTGACTCCTCCATCAGGTTTTGCAGTAAAAAAAAAAATCTGGACTCACATATAGCTAACTCAAGTGTTGAGCCATAATCTGTTGGCCTGAGACCTTTGAAGTCGATATTGGTGGTAATTGTGGTAATTAGGGGTTAAAACAATGGCATGGAGTAGTCATCCGGCTTTAATTCCTGCATTCCGTAGTCATTTGAAATGGTCTTTAAGTTGTTTAATATTCTGTGTAATGCTGTAGACGACTTCATTGTGGAACGTTGATGAAGATGGTGCAATCAAATGAAGCGATCGTTGTGTTGTTGATGTCTTGCGTGGCCTGCCATACTTTTAGTACCATGTAGTGTTGGTAACTGTTTTATGGGTGAGATCTGGTGCTTTGAGCAATATTAAAACCTTTTGCAACTGTAGACTGTGGCACACCTGGTTCTAGTAGCCCAATCTCTTTCGTGTTGTTCATCCTTTGGATATGCAGCATTTTTAAATACAATGTAGGTCATTTTTCAGAAGTACTAAAAAAAAAAAAAAAAAAAAAAAAAAACCAGAGGCCTAGATAAGTAGGGGGTTCTCAAGTTCGATTCTCATTCCTGTCTTAGAAATTCATTGTGTATTTGTTCCCTAGCTCCTTCCGTTCGCTTATTGATAAGCAAGAAAATTGCGTCTAAGATCTAGTCCCACAAACGAGTAAGATAAAAAATTCCTACAAATGGGTAAGTCATTTGTCTTTGTTGTCAAACGATTTTATGAAATACCATTGAAACCATTTAAGGGGGTATCTTGAATCTTGAATTCTAAACCAGTAGCATGCATCAGTAGGAGCAGAATTTAAATTAACTGAAATTTACTTAGAATTTTTTAAATTTTGTTTTCAGAAAGATTTAATGCTGTTTTGGCCAACTTTGGAGGTTGATTTTATAGTTGCAAGTAATAAATTTTAAGGTTAAAATGCAAAATTGAAAAATTTAGACCAATATCACCGACGGACACCTCGGGTGATCTTGTGTTAAATTTTACCATAGACATATAAGAGACCCTCTCTTATATGTCTATGATTTTACTCATCACCCGTGTGATGACGACGAGAACACCCGTGAGTATCCGACGATGGATAAGTACAAGGTATAGAATAACTATTAAGTATTGTTTTTTTAATGTAACTTTCTCCGGGAAATTGTTTTCTCCTAAAGTTTTTATTTAAATCCTGAACATAACCTTTGTTCGGATATACTAGGTATTCGTTCGGACGAATTAGAAATTTTGTTCGGACAAATTAGATATTTGTTTGAAAGAATTGGAAATTTGTTCGGACAAATTAGAACGAATTTCGTCCGAAAAATAAATTGATATTTTTCATCTGGTCCGGACATATAATAGACAGGGTTTTAATTTTTTGGGGGGAGGGGGCGCTCGAGGTGTGTATAGTTTCTCCCTCCATTGCACCTGATCCCCCTCTAATGTTAGAGGTCCATGTATGGGACACTCGTTTCAATGTATTTGGGGCGTTAAATTCGAGGCGCTCGAGCTCGATCGTGCCAGTGCATATAAATAAGGGAGAAAAGAGGTAAGGGGTAAGGAGAGAAATGACAGTAACCAAATTTAAAAATTTTGAGACATTTTGCAATAACAAAAACTATAGTCGAGGTGTCACCAGCTAATTATAAACAATTAATTATACATATTATACAATGTCATTATGTAGGAATTTAAAAAGTGACAAAGACAAAAAGAAAAGTAAAGTCCAAAATCAAGTCTGTCATAAATAAGTGAAATCAATTCATGTACTATAGCACATGCATTTATAGTTTCATTGCCATATGTTATAACAAAACTTACGGTTAATAAACAATAAATTACAGAAACAAGTGTCTGTGTACCACAGACATTTAGCACTGTTTTTATTTTCTATATAAAGAACATATTTGGGGACTGAGATCTAAAATTAAAAGCTTGATACAATTTTAATTCACGCTTACCCGTGTAAATAAGATCGGAATCGGAATTAGCATAATATCGAAAACAATGGCGGGAAGTATGGACGACTTTGACGAAGAAGGGGATGATTTGTTAGCTTCTTTCGTCGAAAACAAAGATGGTTCGTGATTTATTCAATGATGCTTTAATTAATAGTTTGCAATAAAAGGAAATGCAGTCATGATAAGTATCTTTTCACGATATTCAAAACTTAATATGTTTTACGGTGTGACCGTTGGGGCGAGCGCAGTTGTACCATCAAAAAGCTATATAGCAGCTTACACTTGTAACGTTGATCCCCCTCTTCAAACGCCAAACCTCACGAGACACAGTCTAGACTGTGACGTCACATGACGTCGGAATTTACGGAGACAGCCGAGCGTCTGGTTAAACGAGACTAAAGATCTTGTGCAATAAAATTGAATAATAAATGAAATACGTTGTAGAGTAGATGTAATTATTTTTTGTTTCTGTTAAACTCTCTCAGTCTCTGCAAAGAAAGAAAAGTAAACTTATCTCTCGGTAATGAATGATTATCCTTGGTCTTTTGTATGTTTTGTAAGAATTTCGCATGGAACCCTGGTAGCGAAGGAATTCTGGGAATGTTGCACCAGAAAATTTGCCTGACATATGTACAGATTTCATTCCGAATTTTCTCTGTTCTTACATGTTAGTCTTTTGAGCTCGCTGCGCTCGCTATTAGTGTAGATTTATGTTGTGATGGTTGTCTTTTGGGTACTACATACATTATCCTGATTGATTATAGGATACGATATCAGAGAAATGTTGTTTTTGTCTCAGATTATATTTAGCGTACGTGTGTTACGCTTATAATGAATGAATGAGGTTTTCATTGGTCATTACAGGGATTTTACACTGCCCCGTGTAGGACCTAAATATACAGGCCCCATTCCCAATTGCCAAAAAAACTCCCTTTTCCCGAAAAACTGAACTGTGTGTACAATACTACCACCTGTCAAAATAATCAGTACACAGTACAATGATTGTGGGCAGTACTTGCAAGGCAGGGACCTATATACTAACGGGACAGGCAACTCCTTCAGCGCCATGTTTATTTACCCAAAACGGCACACACAACACTGCAAGTTTTTCGAACTACTTTTTTTCCCAGTAAAAAGCTTGTTTTCTGATTAATGTAATCTGTTATTTTTGTGTATTGGAATGGATATTTAATAAATTTTAAAGCACATATTATAAAATAATTTAGAAATTAAGTAAACAACCACCAAAATTGGCGATTTCTCGGAAATACGGCTGATCAGGGATACACACTGATTTTTAAATAAACATAATTACTTCTAAGATTAGGAGTAAAAACATTGCTAATAACAAATCTTGAATAATTTTTTGACAGATAAATTAAGATTTTATTCTGAAATATTTGATAGCAAAAGAGTTATATTTAATTAAAATTGACTTACGAAATCCCGCAACTTACGAGGTATTGCGAGAGTTGCCTATCCCGTTAGTATGTAGGTCCCTGGCAGAAGCAGAAGAATTAAGGAATGAATTTAATTTTAAGAAACTTGGTTTTTGTGATGAATTGATTGGCAGATTGTTTTAAGAGCCATTCAATGACCAATAGTTTTGAAATAAAAAAATAATTTTATTTAAACATTAGAGTTTATTTCTTGAAAAATTGTCATGGGTTATAATATCCAATATGGGAAAAAATGGCTTTAAACATGTTAAATTCCCAATTCCAGGAGCCTAGACCCCATTCCCAGTGCCTGGGAAGGTCAAGCAACAGGTTGGGCCGATGGCCCCACTGTTCATAAAATGATGGGGCCATTTTGAAATTTAAGGGGTCGAGGGGAAATATATTGGGGCCATTCTAAAATATATGAAAGTATGATGCTATATGATAATGCATATATCTCTGACAACAAAATTTAGGAAAATAAAAAAGAAAAATGCGATAGGAATTGACAAGTCATATGACATTGACTAGTGGAAATGATTTTTCCATTTCAAAGAACTTCAATCATTCGTCATCTAGATTCTAATCAACTTGAATGTGTCTAGAAAAATTATATTTAAACCAAAAGCACAATTTTTTAACTATGCCGATTTAGAGATCACGGGACAGGCCAAGATAAGTAGACTTCGATTGGTAAGGTTTTACATTGTAAGGTATATTTTCCATGTGCGTGACTTTCATAAGGCTGTGGTCAACCGTCGAAAACAACTTGACACTTACGAACCACATGGAAAGAAAACTATGTTTCTTTGCCAGTGGATGTCAATATGCCGAATGATGGTTCTGATTTTATTATATGATAATCACAGATTCCATCTAACTTCGATGAAGAATACCAATAGCGCCGACTGCGATGAGCTTACAAAGTAATAAAACATGCGTGCCTGCATTTTGTGGGGCATGGCGCAGCACACCATTATTTCATTGCGCCATTTTTCGACAGTATGCGCATATGGTGCATGGCACGGCCCCTTCCCAGGCCCTGCATTCCCAAAATGGTGTGGATATGTGTGATAATTAATCCCTACTGATTAAGCTTAAGACAATGCCCTTATAAAGCACAGATATTTATAAAGGATGCAATAATATCTATATAGTCTTGCCGTTTCTCTAGAATCACACGTTTTCTACTGTCATATCAGTAATAAGGGCACCACAAAGCGGAGCATCCCCTCGCAAAGAGCATATCTGTAAATCAAGACAGCATTTGACATTGATCCCGATGCAAATTATGTCACTTCCCTTTTGCACAAGGACAAACTAACACACAAACACAAAAGAGCATTGCTATATCCCTTTCAACTCCATTGCGAGGGGATAATAACATATTTTTAATGTGTAGAAGCTTTTAATTGTTCGATGATTTTTACCAGAATGATGATAAGTTTCTTGAAGCTGATATGTATTCTTGTGTGCATGGTATATTGTTCATTGAAAAATCTATGCATTGAGTTCAAATGTTAGTTTACATTCTTGAACAATTCATTCTAATGACATTAATGTTTACTATTTAATTGATGTGAAGTGTATGTAGTATATATATTATAATTTATGTTTAGCAAATATTTGACTCGGTATCAAAATGAAAAGATTGTTGGGTTTTTTTTTTCAGATCTGCAAAACAATGTCCCAGTGGATTTTCCATTTCCTTTTGAAGCATATGACATTCAGAAAAAGTTTATGGAAAATCTGTACCTCAGTCTGGATAAGGGACAAGTGGGGATATTTGAGAGCCCTACTGGTACTGGAAAGTCCCTCAGTCTTATCTGTGGGGCACTGAAGTGGCTCAAGGATTATCAGGTCAATCAAGTTATTGTTTCTGACTTTACCATCATTTTGAATGAAAAGTCAACATTTGAAAAAAAAAGACAAATTAATGATCAACCACTCATGCACTCACTTTATATAGGATCTTCATAATATCCTTTGTAAACATTTAAAACTGTGCTGGAAGAGCTGAAGTCTGATTGATTAGATTTTTTGATTTTACCTCATTGTATGTAAATATTAAGTTGTTAGACCATACATACTGTATATTATTAATGCACTTTGTATTGTTGTTTTACCTCTTAATTCTCAATACCTGGTTACGTTAAGTGGTAAGAATTTTTTTTTTCAGGAGAAACAGAAGAGGGATCTCGAGGCTTTGATTGCAGAGGAGGAGAAATCATGTACCAGCTGTGATGGGTATGGGTGTGCTGTAGTTTTAATACTTGTTCAAGATTTTGTTCCATTGAATTTTTCTTGAGACTTGGAACCTAGTTTGTAAGTTTTTTAAAGTTGGGGCAAGATTGACTTGTTTGTTAAGAAGGAATATGTAAAGATATGTAAATTTTATGTTGAATAAATACAATACATGTATTTACTGCTTTGAATGTTAGTATGCTCCTGATATCTGGTTAGATGCAAATACTATAGAAAGATTATTTTTGCCTTTTTCTTACCTTTTTACACTTGCAAACAATTTTGCTCCAGTTTAAATTATCCCAGGCATGGCTTTGTTAAAAAGATAAGTCAGTCTTCTTCAAATTCACCCCATTTACAGGGGTGTGCAGTTAGCATCGCCCGACGCCCGGGGCTACCATTTTCGGGGGTCGGGCTAGTGGTTTTCTGCACAGAGGTAACCCCTTGGGCTAGTAGAAATTAAAACTACAATTGTAATACATGAAAAGTACAACCGGTAATTTCACTCATTTTTTTGCTCTTAAATTCCTAACCAGTGAAAATTTTCCAGGCTGCATGCTCCTATTGTCCATAAATCTCCATAATCTTATCCATTTTGCAGTACTACCTGACTTATTTACTTCAAAAAACTATCGTTTTTTTTTCGTAATCCGAATTTCCTCCATTCCTTTGTTTATGGTAAATACATGCAGATATCTCATTGAATTATTTACAAACACTCAATCAACTGAAAGGTAAGTGTTATGCAATTAAAACAAAATATATTTCCAGTGTATTTAATGATTTAAGTATGTTAAGACGAAAACAAAATGATTTTTGCTTTGTTTTAGATGAGCTAGTGCAATGATCAGAAAAAGGGAAGATTTAAATTCTTTTTCATTTTCTATCATAATCATTAATTTATATATGATTAAATTTCACTAGTGAGAATTAAACTTTAATTTTAAAAAGAATTACCTTCAGTTAGTACCCTGACTTTTTCAACAATTAACTTTTTTTCAATATTAGTTTTTAATTTTTGCCTCTATATTTGGGCTAGTAACTTTTTACTTGGAGTAGTAACTTTATTGCTGCCACTAGCCCGTGGGCTAGTACTTGAATTTTTTAATTGCACACCCCTGATTTAAAATTAGCCTAGACTACAAAATGATTTTAAATTTTCCCAGACACAGTCATTCAAGAGACAAGTCCTTCTTTGAATTTGTCTTATTTTAAATTCAAAGAGGGTGAAGGGGGTATGAATAAAAAAAAAAAGTGACAAAAATTTCATTGTTTACCATATATATATTGATCTACACATTTCTTCGAATGAACATGACACTGAGTTTTAAGAATTTCTATGGTACAACTGAGCAAACCATAATAAATTAAGTGACTTTACATTAAAAGGGTTTCTGGTGAGTTAGACTGGATAACACAGTTTGCAGTAAAGAAAGAGAAACAGGAAAAACTTGACAGCGCAAAACAAAAACAACAAAAACTGGAAAAGCAGGAGTCTAGATTGTTAGAAATAGGAAAGCAAAAACAGTACAGAAAACGTAAACGAGACCCCCTGGAGGAGGAATTCGAGGAGTTGATGAAGGAAGCTGCTCCTGATGTACAGGCTGCATACCTTGAGGAGATTGACAAGGTCAAAGGTCAGGAGGTGGATCAAGGGGATGATGACTTAGTGCCCGAGGATTATCATAGCGATGAAGAGGTCAAATCTGAGGATGTATCAGACAGTGAGAACAGTGAGGAGGAGGTGGATCATGTGACTAAGATATATTACTGCAGTCGTACACATTCTCAGCTAGCACAGTTCGTCCGCGAGATTGTCAAAAGTCCTTACGGTTCTAACACCAGAGTGTTGACTCTGGGATCAAGACAAAATCTGTGTGTGAATGAAACAGTGAAAAAACTGAAGTCTTTATCTTTAATGAATGACATGTGTCTAGATTTACAGAAAAATAAAAGTAAAAAGATTGACAGGGAACCTAGTGGTGAGGCAGTCAGGAAGAGGAGGGAAAAGAATGGCGGGGGGTGTCTGTATTACCGACAAGAGACGATGGAAGACCTGGGGAATCGGATATTGACAGAAATTACAGATGTGGAACAGATTGTTAAAGCAGGTCAGGCCTGAGTTATCAGAACTCACATAGTATATGACATTATCAAAGTACAAAGATGCATGAAAAGAGAAAATTATGTGACATTATGATTTTAGTGTTACATTAAAAATAGCAAACTCAAAAATGTTAATAACATTGCCATGTACAATGTACACAAAAGTCTGTTTATATAGACCCACTTTATATGTACAATATAGCTTTAAATCATGAATTTTATTAAGGCTGTTAACAAGATTGAATTCCTTGTAAAACATATATACTTTGTTGTCAGGTCGCCAGATGAAGGCCTGCCCTTACTACACTAGTCGTCTGTCTATACCACTAGCTGAGGTAGTGGTATTACCATACAATATTATCCTACACAAGTCGACACGAGAGGCCAGTGGGATTCGTTTGGAGGGGAATGTGGTACTGATTGATGAAGCCCATAACCTACTAGAGACCATTAACTCTGTATACAGTGTCACAGTGACTGGGGCCCAGTTAACCAAGGCCCATAGTCAGCTCAGTCAGTATGAACAAAGGTAGGTATACTGGAACCCATTTAACCAAGGCCCATAGTCAGCTCAGTCAGTATGAACAAAGGTAAGTATACTGGAGCCCAGTTAACCAAGGCCCACAGTCAGATCAGACAGTATGAACAAAGGTAAGTACACTGCAGCCCAGTTAACAAAGGCCCACACTCAGCTCAGTCAGTATGAACAAAGGTAAGTATACTGCAGCCCAGTTAACCAAGGCCCACAGTCAGTTTGAGAAAAGGTTAGTATACTGGAGTCCAGTAAACCAAGGCCCACAGTCAGTTCAGTCAGTTAAGCATACTGGAGCCCAGTTAACCAAGGCCCACTGTCACCTCAGTCAGTATGAGCAAAGGTAAGTATACTGGAGCCCAGTTAACCAAGGCCCACAGTTAGCTCAGAGAACTGTAGAACTTTTTTTTTTACATTTTATATGTTGTAATATGGGGGTTTATTTTTTAACTCAAATTATACAACCTTTATAAGGTATAGCTTTCGTAATAAGACAATTGCCTAATAAACCCTTATATGTTTTGAAATCCATGAAAATTGGCCCTCAAGAAATATAAATGCACAATGATTCCAAATACATCTTTAGCTTGAATTTGATGTATACATCATTGAAACTGCAAAGTACATGAGATATAATTGTATTTAAAAAATGGTTATTAAATGTATTGCAGATTCAGATCCAGATTGAAGGCCAAGAATTTACTGTATGTCAAGCAGATTCTGTACATACTGAACTGTCTGGTGAGATTTCTGGGTGGGAGGGCAGACATAAATGGAGCAAAACAAAGTGCTGGGAAATACGAGACCAAAGTGCTTACTGTTAACCAGTTTCTGTCAGAGAGTGGGTTTGACAATATTAACCTGTTTAAGATTTTACAGTATTGTCGAAAAAGCCAAATTTCCAAAAAGTTAAACGGTTTCCTGGAGAAACATCCGAACAGTGAGGTCAGTGTGGCAGCAGAAAAAGCCAAAGAGAAAAACATGGGAGTCGCCGGTTTCTTGAAGGAAATTACGCAAAATGTGGAGAGTTCAGCTTCAATGGAAGAAATGCAGAAGACAAATGCTTACAAGGGAAATGAGGAATCTGGGGTCATGAGGTCCCCATTGATGCACATTGAAGGATTTTTTGCCTCTTTGACAAGTGCGGATAAAGATGGCAGAATTGTGCTAACCAAACAGCCATTAATGAGCAACTGTTCCTTGAAATTTTTGTTGATGAACCCTGCTGTTCATTTTAAGGATGTGCTCACCCAGGCTAGGTCAGTCATAGTGGCAGGGGGAACCATGCAGCCCATAGATGAATTTAAACAGCAACTGTTTTTTGCTGCAGACATTGGTCCAGAGAGAATTCTGGAATATTCATGTGGTCATGTGATTGCATCTGATCATCTATTTGCTCTAGCCATGAAGTCAGGACCAATGGGGATAGATTTGGATTTTACCTTTGGTTCAAGAGAAAACTCAGCTCTTTTGAATGAACTTGGGTTGATAGTTAGTAATATCTGTGGCATTATTCCAGGAGGTCTGGTCTGTTTCTTCCCCTCGTATGATTACCAGAACCTTGTTTACCAACATTGGCAGAAATCAGGCATTCTCACCAAACTAGAGAGGAAAAAGAGGATCTTTCAGGTTTCTATTATTTTTATCTATCTTTAAGAAGTTTCTCATAATGAAGATTGATCTACTGGTGCAGATTTGCAACGATACTAAGATTTTGATTTTTGCAGAATTTGAGAATGAAATTTTAGACATCATAAACTTCAAGTATTAAACAATTGAGTAAAGAAAATTAGTTATAGCATAGTTTGTAAAGAAAGAAAATTTTATTAAATGTATACATGTTGCACTATATTAACACTAGTACAATAAGATTTGGATTAAGCAAAAAATTTGCTCAGTTCTTTTTAAGTTCTGCTTATTTTATGTTGGTAAATGGTTGGTTTCTTAGGAGCCTAAACTGTCCAGCCAGGTGGAGCATGTCCTTGGAGAATATTCAAAGTCAATCCAAAAGTCCAGTGGTGGAGGGTCAGGTACAATTTAATATACAGAACTGTATAGTTAGCTCTACTGGTCAGAGACCAGAAGAGCTTATGCGATAGTAAGGTGTCCGTCGTCTGTCTGTCTGTCTGTCCGTCTGTAAACAATTTTTCAAAATGCTACTCCTCCTACAGTTTTGATCTGATTTCAATATTACTTGGCACACAAGTAGACAACACTAAGGTACATAATTCTGTATATCGGTTTTTGATTTCGATGAACGGTGTTGCCATGGTTACTAAAAATAGAAATTTCTGTGAAAAACATTCAAAATGCTACTCCTCCTACAGTTTTGATCTGATTTCAATGTAACTTGGCACACAAGTAGACTACACTAAGATACATAATTCTGTTTATCGGTTTTTGATTTCGATGAACGGTGTTGCCATGGTTACTAAAAATAGAAAATTCTGTGAAAAACATTCAAAATGCTACTCCTCTTACAGTTTTGGTCTGATTTCAATATAACTTGGCACACAAGTAGACTATACTAAGATGCATAATTCTGTGTATCGGTTTTTTATTTCAATGAACGGTGTTGCCATGGTTACTAAAAATAGAAATTTCTCTGAAATACTTTCAAAATGCTACTCCTCCTACAGTTTTGGTTTTATTTCGATATTACTTGGCACACAAGTAGACTACACTAAGATACATAATTCTGTGTATTGGTTTTTGATTTCGATGAACAGTGTTGCCATGGTTACTAAAAATATAAATTTTCTTGAAATACTTTCAAAATGCTACTCCTCTTACACTTTTTTGTCTGATTTCAGTATAATGTGGCATACAAGTAGACTACAGAGATACATAATTGGTGTTATTGTTCTTTGATTTTGTTGAACGATGTTGCCACGGTTACTTAAATCAAAATTTCTGTAAAATTGTTTTAAAAGGCTACTCCTCTTACAGTTTTAGTCTGATATAATAGTAAATCTTGCCACAAAAGAGACTAAACTAAGGATCATTATTCTATTTATTGCTGTTGCAAAGTTTCAAGTCCAACTGCTACTTTTATCTTCCTTTATAAATACAACCAGTAGAGCTACAGTCTTGTCAGAGACTTCTGGTTTTTTGAAAATGATAGTGCTACAATCAAACACAGATATTTAAGTTCTTAATTTAAAAAAAATACTTATATTGTATATCAAAGCACTAATATAAACAAGTTATTTTGACTGCCTTTGTGTTAAAAAAAAATTACTGATATTTTTTTTTAACACTATGATGAATGATTTCTACATTGTCAGTCTTTGCTTATGTTCATGATAATTTTGGCTATATAACAGTTTCAGGAGCCATTTTGCTGTGTGTAGTGGGAGGGAAGATGAGCGAGGGGATCAACTTCTCTGATGATCTTGGTCGAGGTGTCATCATGGTGGGCATGCCTTACCCCAATATCAAGTCTCCAGAATTACAGGTCAGTGTATACCCCTGGTCATTCTCACAGAAGAGGTTTAGTGAACCACGCATGATCTGGGAACCCATAGTTGCAGTGCTTACAATGATTAATTATCCAAATTTTTTTTAAAAAAAGTTTTTTTTCTGGAAAATTTGGTTAAAATATTTTAAAGTTTGAAATTTAGAGTCGAGAATTTTATTTTCAATATTTATCTAACAGTTAATGTTTTCTAAAACAATACAATTTTAATATAGCTTAGTCTGTACCTTACTTTATTTGTATTAACAGACGAATCCCCAGATGTTCTATAAAAAATGTTGAATCTTTGACTATTTGAATTATTTCACCAGGCCAATCTTTAATTTGTTGAAAAAATGTAAAGAAATTGAAAGCATACTTTTCATGCTTGCATTATTAAATAAATTCAGTGATTTTTAGCTCCCCTGAGCCATAGGCTCAGGTGAGCATTTCTTTTCAAAATTTGTACTACATTGTCTGTTGCAGACTTTGTCATAAACTTTTCACATTTTCATCTTCTCCAGAACCACTGGGCCAGAAAAGGTGAAACTTAAGTGAAAGGTTCATTACAGGGTGTAAATTAAATTTGTTCAAATCATACACTTCCCCTCTTGCAGGGTAGGGTGGGGCCACAACAAGCAATCAAAGTTTATCATAGGAATATATAGGAAAAATCAGTAATCTTCTAAAGAACAACAAAGCCATTTTTAGTCATATTTATATGGAAATATAAATGAATATGTATGGAGGATGTCAGGTAGTTTAGATTTGAATTCAGGTTTGTTCAAATCATGACCCTTTTGGGTAGATGGAGCCACAATGGGCATTCAAAGTTTTACATAGGAGTATATAAGAAAAATCTATCAAAGTCTTTGTCTCAAGAACAGCAAAGCCGTGATTACTTGTATTTTTATGGAAACATCCACAGGTAGTGTATATTCAAGTTTGCGCAAATGAAGACCCCCCAGGTGTAGGGTGAGGCCACAATGGGCAATTTTTACTTTAATAAGAATATGATTGTAGGAAAATTCTTTAAAAAATCTTTTTCTCAAAAACAGCTAAGCCATGATTAGTCAAATTTATGTGGAAGCATCCTCAGGTAGTGTAGATTCAATTTTGATCAAATCATGGGGCCACAATGGGCAATCAAAGTTCTACATAGTAGTATATGTCAAAAACCTTTAAAATTTCTTAAGAACAGCAAAGCTATGATGAGTCATATTCATATGGAAATATTTACATTTCATAATATTTTCTCTTAAGGATTCTTTATAGATTAGAAAACTTCATTTTCTCATGAATTAGCATGGATGACCATGAACACATGCAGTCTTTGGAACACTCTAGTCATTTATTTAATCACTTAATCAATTGACCTGTACACTAAGAGAAATTAATATGCTTAAATTGTCAGTTTAACTTTGTTGTAATTTAGGGCTGGCAGAAGGCACTATGTGTAATCCTCCCATAATGTTAATAATTTTCATTATAACATCTTTATAGGAAGGTCATTTTTTATTAATTTCTGCTTGCAGGAGAAAATGCAATATTTGAATTCCAATTTTCCTAGAGACAAAAATGGGCATCTTCCAGGTCAAGTTCATTATGAAAACCTGTGTATGAAAACCGTCAATCAGTCCATTGGTCGAGCAATCCGTCACCGTGAAGATTATGCAACCATTCTGTTGCTTGATAAACGTTACTGTAAAGAGAGTGTACGGACAAAGCTTCCATCCTGGATTGGGAAAAATCTACAGAAAATGGAGAAGTACGGTCCAGCTGTAGCAGCTATTTCTCAGTTCTTTCGAGGAAAGAAGAGTGATACAATGAATTAGATTTCAATGGCATTTAAATGATGTTCCTGGTTATTATTTCATATACATGACTAGTTGTTTTATTACTCTTTTCTTGTTAAATCTTGTACTGATTAAAACTCATTTTTTGCATTGTTTTTGAAGTGCTTTTCTGATTTTTCATTGCTTTGATTTATCAATTTGATATGTAAATAACACGGTTTTCAAGGGTCTTTGGACAAGCAGTAAGTCTGAAAAACTATAAAGAAAATTTTTGATGAAAGGAAAGTCATTTTTCAGCATGAATGGCATAAATATATAGTCTTTGAATTACCTGTCACTATCATTTTGACAGCTGACAAGAGAGTGTTAGCCTCTTACAATCTTCCATTGGAAAATGCTTGGATGTATCAAGCCAAAAAAATAATCCATCGTTTCTCGGACACAAATGCAATGGGTCAAAGGGTAATAACTTAATTTTCTATATTTCAAGCTAAAACAAGAAAATTGAGATTCCCCCTTTCACTCATATTTTTGTTTGATACTTGTTAACAATATGTTACCAGTATGCTTCTAAAAATTTGAATAACATTATTTAAAGCTTATTGAGTATCAAATAATATACCTATGGAATCATTATTTGTTGACAAAAAAAAAGTCCCACCCTGTCCCAAAAGCTATCCAGGCTATATCTACTGTCCAAACCATTACATTCCTCTCTCCTTAAATCCAGGCTGGTATCCACAGCCCACATATGTAATTAGACACATAGAGGTCACATGCATCATCTGAAGCATGACATGGTATGCACCATCCAAACCATAGTCAAAAGCTTTTCAAGTTATGGTAACTGTATTTTCAATATGAAGAAAACGTAAAAACTATCATTTCATTCGTCATCATGGTCAAGATTATAATAGTTCTTGCTTTATGCCTTTCAAGATAAAGCTTCCTTTCTGAAATATTGTTTTTTTTTATATGAGTTATGATTCAATCTGTAAATTGCTATAGCATCAAAAAATTATAAAAACAAACAATATGCATGTCCTACATGTCATGAAAAAAGATGTGAAAACAGAAGTTTAAATATTTTCTTTATTGAAGTAAACTTTGAATAAGAATCCATATGTACAACACTTCTAATTTCTTCAATGTCATTTCCACTACTGTCTTAGCACATTTCTTTCTTTGAATCCATAATCTGCATATTCATGTGAGTCCTTGTACTTTAAATCCTGCATATTAGAAATATTACATAAATTAATCAAATAATTAACAGGTTTGAGGTTACATCTACATACTGTAAACACACTTTCAGACCAGTGATCTACTGACCGCCCGTCAATAGTGTGCAAATTTTGGACCGGCAGTACCCATATACACACTATAATTTTAGGTAAAAAACAGTTATTTATTGTCTGATAAGTCAAGGGACCAGAATATTTTTCCCTTGGTGCTGAGAACAGCTCAATGTGTTCTTTTGCCCTCGGCTGTTGGCCTTGGGCAATAAAATACATTAAGCTTTTCCCAGCACCTTGGGAAAAATATTCTGGTCCATTGACTGATCAGACATTAAATACATGTAACTGTGTAATATCCATACCTTCCAGAAAGTTGTTCCGTCACGTGTATACATATAGAATCCTTTTTTCTTCTCCCATGACTGTACCAAAAAATAAAAATTCTTGTATTATATTGCTGATACTACTCTTACAATAACATTTGAAGACCAACCCACTGTTATGATTTAATATGACTCTACAACAGTATAGTATGCTGATCCTACCTTGCTGTGGTATTTAGCCCAGTACAATAACCCAAAAGCAACAACATATGCCCTGACAGAACGAGTAGCTAACACTCTCAAATTCTTTGCAAGCCATGGACTCTGAAACAAATACCAATATTTAATGTACATTTTCTGCATACATAATATGATCTTGATTGTTTTAAAAAGGAACCCTTAGAGATCCAAATATTAAGAAAATATTGGCAAGGACATTTTTGCCATTAAATCCTTTGATTTTTTGCTCCCTAACAAAATTATAAAATACCCCCCCCCCCCAAAAAAAAACAGTCAAACATGTATTGAGCGACCTAACCAGGGAAGTTTTAAAAACTCATATATGACAGATGGTTGTCTTATTACGGAATGTTTTTAAGTTTTGTGTGAGTTATTGGTGTGTAAATCACTAAGACTTGTCACGTAGGCATATTTCATGAAGTGCCTGAAGATGACAGCCTAAATATATATATTTTATATATATAATAAAAAATAACAGAACGCCAATATAACAGTTTCAATTAATTATTCTCATACTTTGGATTATATATATGTGTGTTTGTGGTGGTCAGACGGGGTCGATCGCCGGTGGCCAGATAGCACAGTTGGTAGAGCACCTGACTAAAGATTCAAGGGGTCTTGGTTCAAATCTGGTCTGGTCCGTCGTATCTTTCTCCTCTCCTTTTACATTTATATGGAGATGTACTAACTTGAGAACCATGCACACTTTCTTGTGCACACTTTTTCTCAATGGGTGGATCTGTAATCTCAGCTGAGATTTGGCTTGCTGCAAGTCTGTAGCTCGCTTCAGGTCTAAAAAATTAGGATGGATAACCAGAAAGCTACAGTGCCATCCAGTGTGAAAAGTGTATATTTATTGCGCACAAAAAAGTAAGCCATTTCTCGATTTATATCTCTGTACATTTAAGCTGCCGTCTCCAAATATTACTAACTGTGTGTTCTTAACATATTCATTTACTACTTCTACAACAAAACTATGTATCAGTTGTGCATGAAGCATATTTGACCCATTTGTCTTGCCACCCGAAATGGCAGGTTAAATAGATGATATTTTCAGTGATCTCAATTTCATGCCCAAGAAGGCTATTAATAATTATGTGGGGAATGTTTTAATGTAGAAGTAGTAAAAGGATACTTATGACCACCACAAATAAAAACCGATATGGAAAAGAATCTAGTGATGAAGAAAAGAAGGACATAGTCACCTCAGGTAAGCGTTGCAACCCATAAGCCTCTTGTATAGTTACCTTATTTGTGGTTGGCATATAGTCTTTTTCAACATTTAACGAATGCTTAAATAGGGAATACCTAACTAACTACATCTTCATACTTCTATGAAAGTTCAGCTGCTTACCATTACTTTGGACAGTGATCCCTCCAGCATGTTTCCAGGAAACTGATAAAATTTTCTGATCGCACTTGTTGGCTGAATTTTTGGCCGAACTTCCATCCTCGGTTCACCTTTCGCTAACACTTGGTCTTGCAACCAGATCTTTCGTCGCATCCGATCCTCTGCTGACATTTTCTCACCCAATCTATCCCGCTCATACGGAAGGTGTTCAATATTAAATGGTGGGAACTGACTGCCATTAAACTTAAATATCTTCTCTGCATCCGAAATTGGCAAGGTGTTTTGTCTGAATTTGATAGGAATAAATTTTCCTCCTGCGGAGGCAAACCTTGGTTCCGATAACCTTGCCATTTTTCAGGCAGGATGTTGTGCATACACTATAAATGAGAAAACCTTCTTGAGTGTGAAAATAAAATCCGGATTAATGTCGAGATCCCAAACGGTGATATATCATTTTTATAACTCGTTAAAATCTTTAAAACGTTATAAAACGCAGATATTTATCACATCACATGAAAATAGAATAAAACAAACTATTTTATCCACTGGAATTTGAATTATACCCCCCTTTCCCAGGAAAGAATCGTATAAATAGAATGCTATTTGCACATGCAACATGACTAAAACTTCAATTTGCAAAACAGGCCTTCATTAAGATCACATCAGGAATCTATCTTCATAGTAACATACATGTCCATGATCACATATAAATATATAATTCTAATTCCCAGTAGTTGTATGCAGCTGCAAGTTTTTTTGCAATTGTTTCTAGCAGACCCATAAGATATAATTTTTGCAGCAGGGTTTCCATATCCAGAGATTTCAATGTTTCTAATTTTCATACAGTAAATAATCTCACGGATGCAGCAAGTTTGTAGACTCTTTAATTCAAAGCCAGCCACATAAGCTAGTCTGAAGCAGATGTTTGCAGGAAGGTGATGGTTGGTATTTTCTCTTACTGCCAAAATATGTTCCGACTTGTGATAACTTTTGTCCGAGTACCAATACGTACATGTAGCTCGTATATATGTGCATGCGTAAGAGTAAAGGAGAAAATTTATGGCTGGACCAGGAATCGAACCAAGGACCCCTGTATCACCAGTCAGGTGCTCTACCAACTGAGCTATCCAGGCCAATATCCACCACCCAAACCATTTACATTCCTCCCTCCTCAAATTATCTTCAAACTCCAAGACACAACCCATTTCCCCTGGGCAGGACTCTCACCTGCAAGTCCAGGATCCTGGTCACAAAACCAAATTATTTAAAAGGAAAGGAGAAAATGTACAGCTAAACTGGGAATCGAACCTGGGACCTCTGTATCACTAGTCAGGTGCTTTACCAACTGAACTATCCAGGCCAATATCCACAGCCCAAACCACTACATTCCTCCCTCCTTACATTTTCTTTGTCCTTAACAACACAACCCAAGTTCCCATTTGCCCCCCGGCAGGACTCCCGCCTGCAAGTCCAGGATCCTGGTCACTGCACCAAATTATGTAACTTGGAATCGAACTTGGGACCCCTAAATACATGACCCAATCCATTACACACATACATGTATGCAAAAAAAATGAACTGATTGTTAGTTTATTGAGTTTTTGATCCATTTATTATCTTCATTTTGCTCTAATGCATCATAATGAAATAATTAACGGTATACATTAAATTCCTAGAATGAAGAAACAGAAGTCAAACTGTTGATTAGTCAGAGTAAAAAATGAACATTGCAAATTCTATTACAATGTATTATATTGGAATCAATAATACATTGAATTTAAAGAATATATATATATGTGTGTGAGGACCGTGTGACATACAGTACATGATAAAATTCATTCAGAAGTGAGTTTAATACTTTTGACACTGTGAAGTGTTTAGGCCACTTTAGGGATTATAATTTTTTGAAGATGGATAACACAGTCTTGGCAGCTAGTTGTCCTGACATTGTGAAGTTATTGAGGATTATATTTTTTTGAAGTCTGATAGCAGATTCTTGGCTTTTACCGTAGTCATCTCGACACTGTGAAATGTTGGGGATATTTTTTGAAGTTGGATAACAGAGTCTTGGATAGCTGCTAGTCATCCTAACACTCATCCTAACACTGTTAAGTGTTTGAAAATTATAGTTTTTTGAAGTCAGATAGCAGAGTTTGGGCTGCTAGTCTTCCTGGAGACCCCATCACACCACCACCTGTAAAAGAATTCAAAATTCAGATTATCTTAAGCACTAAGCAAACACCTTCATTGTAATGAACAGATGAAACTACATGTACACATTTGGATTGAATTTTTATAAATTAAAATTACTGGTATTTAAAGATGGGAAATAAAATTACAATTAATGACTGTGCCTATCAGAACCATCACCTTAAGGTTCATTGTTACTCCGATAAGAGAGATAACTCTTAATGGGATAAAATTTTATTATTGCTTTATAAATTTGTTAAGTTTGAATTCTTTTTTGACCAATTTTTCCCCTCAAGCTATGCCAAAATTTTGCATTTTACTTATAAAATACATTTCTTTTGGAAAAACCATGAGTGAACAAAGGGATTATGAACTTTAAATCAAATTCACATTAAAGAGGTGAGGATAATAGAAAGAAAAATGCTAGAGAGAGAGAAAGAGAGAGAGAGAGAGAAGTCAAGTGGTCATAGGAGATTAAAGTCTTATTTAAATCACCTGGATGAGCTCCACTCCCTCCAAGATACAACCCTTTTAAGGGGGTCCTATAATTACTCAGCTGACTTGTGGGGCGGGTCATAAACAGCTGGTCTAGCGACATGGAACCATGGAAAATATTCTAGAAGCCAAAAAAAATCAGAAATAATATTTTAGAATATGCACACATAATGCTGAAAGAAGTCATTTGATTATTATTCAAAACAGTTAAAAATAAAACTTTCAGACATGTTAATTCTCCCCTCCTAAGGCAATGGGCACACAGATGAAAATCTACCCCCCCCCCCTCACCCAGAGATGTAAAATCATTGTACCTACCCCACCTGTCAATCCAAACACCTGCTCCAGATCTGGTGGGGTCAGTATGTCTCTTCCCACAACACTCTCCTTAAAGCCAGGGGCATACTGCTCCACAATATCAAAAACTATCAAGACAAAATTAACAAACATGTCTGCATGCAGTCTATTTCCATTGTTTGTGTGAAATACTGTATACAGAGTTATTTTTGCCTTGTGTTATTTTTGCCCTATCAAACTTTCAAATGATTTTGCTCCATTTTAAATTCACCCAGCCACAATTGTTACAAGAGAGATCACTGTCTCTGTTGAATTTGTCCTACTTTGAATCCACCCACTGTATAATGAAAGGGATGAAAATAAAATGGAGGCCAAAATTTCCCTGTGTATAGTATTAAATAACACCTTTCTTACCGATAAAAAAATAAGCTTAGTAGGCGACATTTTTCAGTACTACTTACAAACTGAAGGATCCTACACAAACTGAAATCTAAAACATCCCAATTACCATTATCAGCATAAGCATTTTTATCCTGCTCTGTCCATCCTTCCCCCTTGAGATGATAGGGTGTATACTGTGTGAACATGAGGCAAACATGAGCTCCAGGGGGCGCTAAGGTAGGGTCCTTGCTGGACGGAATCACCATTTCAATCATAGGCCTGAATCATGTACCCAATTTCATACGAATTATGTTCACAATGAGATATTGTCACAAAAATGAATTTTACAAACATTGTGTAATTTATCTGCAAAATGTGTAAGTTACAAGAAAAGTGTTTTAGATTAAAATAATAAATGTACTTGGAACATACAGTGAACATCATTCACTTTTCAATATCTTGAACACCATATGGATATGCGGAAGTGAGTTGATGGTTCAAACCTCATTAGAATACAAGTTTCAACTTCTATTATCTCAAACTCTTGGATATCTCAAAAGATTTCTGACAGTCCTGCCACATTTGAAATTTTGAGGTTTGCCAAATTTTTAACAAGACCTACAATGCTAAACAGCTTACTTTTTGGAGTACATTCCTAACTGAGCATCCAGGTATGCATCATGGATTAGCTGGGTGTGTTCACAGTTAAGGTGGATAGTACATTGATGATGTGGCATTGGTTCGTTCTTCTGTACATTAGGATCAGCCGTAAAATCTGGTAGTCTGCTCAAGGCAACTATTTATAAACAAAACAGATCAAGCCATATCAAAATTTTATGCTGTGTATATTTTGTTAATTAATAAAAAAAATGTACAAGTATCAGAATGGATCTTTATAATATAACTTTTAAATTTCATTTGCCCAATGAAAAAAGAAGATAATGAAATGGAGATCGATGACTCACCATTGATCTTGGTTACAGGGGAGGTAAAATCAAAAGCTCTCACACTGTCCACTAGATCTTTGGGGAGTTTGTTCTAAAATAATATAAATATGTATATTATTATGTGAATAATTATAACTTGCATTAGAGATTGATTCCAAGGGCAAGTTCTCTTATCACGTTCAATCAGCTGAGCTACAGATAAAAATTTACCTTTTCAATGAGATCAAGAAATGTGATCTTTGGACTTGCATTAGATATCACTGCTTTGGAGTGAAGTTCTTTACCATCTGCTAACACGACCCCTTGGACGGCATCATTCTTTGTAAGAATTTCTTTCACTGGCTGAGAAAAGTAATCATTTATTAAATCTGTTTGACACTGAATGTCTTGTATAATCTATTTCTGTGTTTTCTCTTACCTTACTTGTGAAGATATCAGCTCCGTGGTCCATTGCACAGTTACAGATGGCCTGTGACACTGCCCCCATGCCCCCCTCCACATATCCCCATGCTCCCTTCTTTCCCTCCAAACTACCCATCACATGATGAAGAAGGACATATCTTCAATACAAAAATTACATTAATTTAATAATAGACAGGGTCATGTGACCCCATCTAAAAACATATGAAGCCTCTAATCACTCTATGACATAGTGAAAAATATCAAAGGTCAGTAACTTGCATTATGCCTATGTATTATTTCTTAGTGGTTAAATAAGTTTTTTTTCCTGTTTGCATCACATCAAAGTTTTAAAAATTAACAGGAGGGAATAAATTACAAATCAAGACATATTTAGACAAGAAAATATTGTAAAATTATGTACTAATTTAAGCTAGAGTCAATCATGACACCTTCTGTGCAATAATTGCTTTGACCATGAGGTTTACCATATTGTTCAGAGACAGTACAACAACCTTTATGACCCATAGAGCGCATATTGTATGCAGTGTGTGATCAAAGTACAAATACCGGTATAAGCTAGGGATCAAATTACATTTATATATTTAGAAGATGTCGCTGCAGCCAGTCTGTAAAAAATGAATGAAGTTTGTGAGAAGTCCCACAGACAAGAGTGGATTCAGGACCCCTGTCGTTTTTAGGATGGTGCGATCAGAGATGTAAAGAATTAAATAACAAAGAGGTCTAAGACATTTCCAGTCAAAAACTGTTCTAACTGACATGCATGCAAGCATTTCATTTACATTAAAATACAAAAAAATACAACAGGCTAATTCTGAGAATTTATGTTTCTTTCTTAAGTTAAAGAGACTCATCTTAAGTTTTATTACATAACTCATATTACATGATTGTTTGATCTGGAAACCATTTTATGATGTAAATAAATTTCAGACCTAGCATCTTCGAACTTTTGATCTCAAAATCAATTAAAGTCTTCTTTGAGTCATGAGGAGATGTGATATAAAATTTCATTGAAAAAGTTCAAAGAAAACTTAAATTATCATTTTGAAACCATTTTATGCAAAAAAAGAATTTTTGATGTTGGCCTTTCACCTTTTGACCTTGAAATCAATTGGGGTCTTCTTTATGTCATAGGGAATTATGATATAAAATTTCATTGTAAAACCCAAAGGATTTTTAGAGATATCATCCAGAAACTCAGGTGTTACAGAATGACGTAGAGACAGATGGATAGACAGACCCAAAATAATAACTCACATATTTAGCAGAAGTATGGGATAAAAATAAACAAACAAGCAACCATTTTCACAAATCTAACCACTAACACATGCAGGTACATGCATACTGGTACTGTACCAGTATCAGTTTGCTCAAAATTCTACATAACGTACATAAAAACACAACTGTTGACATCTTGATAGTTAACATTACCTTTAACAACTTGTAAGGTAAACATCTTTTGTTATTTATGCTAAAAATAATAATAAAACCCAGTGCTTATAAAGATCATCTGCATATATTTTAAGACAATAATGATATTTCAGATGGACAAATATGTCTAGGAATTATAAGTCCATACCCACTGCCCTGTGATTCGGGGGACATCATGGCTCCTATAACAGAATCTGTGGCCAGTGTGGCCTTTAGGGGCTCCGACTCAAACCATCTATTCAAAATCTGAAATGTTACAAATCATTCTCTTTTAGTAAGTACAGCATCTGATAGTTAGCAGATTTAAATATTATTGTTGTAGAGCAACTATTTATAAAGGATATACATGTAATATATTTATTAGGGATCCACCAGCAATACAACTTCTTTACAAGGAGCAACCAGTAGAGATACGATGTTGGTATGTTGTATAGGGATGTTGTTATGTTGTATAGGGATGTTGTTATGTTGTATAGGGATGTTGTTATGTTGTATAGGGATGTTGTTATGTTGTATAGGGATGTTGTTATGTTGTGTAGGCCAAAGTATTTATACAGTACTTGTACTGAGAGGCCACAGTTCTGGTCAAGGACCCTCTGGACCATCATCAAGTAAACATGGACCATCATCAAGTAAACATGGACCATCATCAAGTAAACAGATAGACATTAGTTGTGGGTTACGAGAAAAACCGTATATTTGTTGTGAGGCCCCCAGCAAATGGCACTATACCTCCTTTGGTTTATTATAAGGTATCAGCAATAAAACCAAATGTCTTTATTCCTTTTTTATACAACAATGAACCTAAGCAGTACAGTACCTTTGTTGTGGGGGCTGTCATCAATTCATAAAAAGCATCACCATCTTTTCCTAATGTCTTTACTGCAACAAAAAATAGCAGCTACCTTACAATTCTTACTTCTAATATGTTGAAGAAAATTCACTCTGACTTAATCTGTTTCATTAAAGTACATCTTTATATATAAATTTGTATATATAAATCTGTAGAACTGTTACATACATGCATGTATATCGTATAAGTGGAAATTTTAGTGGGATGCAAATTTAGTGATTAATCCCCAAAAATTGGTATATATTTTTAGCAAGAAGTAATTTTAGTGATTTTATAATGTCAAGAGAAATAGCATATAACAACCAATATGGAATAAATTGTAAGCGGTATTCAATTTTAGCGATCTCAGAACCCTCACTACTAATGCCAAAACTGAATCATTGCTAAAAATTCTGCTTATACAGTAATTTACTGTTTTCTCCAGAATGAAGGTATAATACATACAGGATTTCAGCAGAGTTTTGATAGCTGGTAATGTTTTCAATGTTTCTCTTATTTTTCCACTGGTCAAACTTGGCAGATACGGGGGAGGAGAATCCAACAGCGGGTCAATGGCTGTTACAATGTCATCAAGCTGCTTCTCATATTCAACAAAACTCTGTAGTTAAATGGTAGAAAATTTATTTTAATCATATTTTTATAGAAGTCCTTGTTTAAGTGTTATTCACTAGACATATTGAAAAATAAAGTCATTTATCATATGATTCCTTTTTGTCATTAAAAGGAGAATACATAGAGATCTGCCAAGGATTCAAACTCTGAACTCTGCACTTCCATGTACAAACTAATCTATCAACCAGGTGATAATATATATATTTAATTTATTATACTCATGCAGCCAAATCAATTCTCCCTCTTCAAATTCCATCCCTTCTTCACCCATCCAATAGAATGATTTCAACACACAATGTTCACATACTTGGACTGTCATATAGAAAGTAAAATATCCATCAGAAACTTACTTTTGCATCTTTTTCAGAAAATTGTGCGATCTGTCGGTAAGTTTCTGCATGATCTGGTCCGAGAGTTAGTGAGGAACCTTTGCCTGTTTTCCCCAACAATGGGGTATAAGAGCTAGGATTTCGTAGGTAAACTTTCAGTCCATATTTCTAAAATTAGAGAATCAAACATGAAATTGCACATGTATATCATATACGTCTCCAGTTGCTGTTGTATGTTTCATCATTCACACACTGTGATTGACTTTTTTATTCTCTAACATATTGGAGAAACTCTAATGAGCAATTGATCGGTAGCCATGACCATGACCTGAAAAGCACATAGTAGTCACAAACAGGTTCTTTTCAAACCATCCATGTAAAATTAGTCAAATTTGAATTTAAAATTCTCCAGGACAGGTCTTGCTTGAAAGCATTACTTTGAAATATATTTGAAGAATATAAGTTACACACATTGGTATACAGCATCCCAGGTAAAACTCTTAAGTCTGTGTCCCTAAGGGAAACAGTAAGACCAATCTGATTCATCTATTAGGGAATAAAGTTACTTGGAAATGGTTTCATTCCTTTAAAATTTTTAATATCATTTCCCATCAAGAAGATATACACATACATGTACATGTAGATCACAGGCAAAGCACGACTATTAAAAATATACATAACAAGCATGTTAGGTTAATGCTGCCTTTCTTTGATCCACCAAACATATAATAAAGCTTGGTCCATAAAACTCCATATGCATTTTCTTGTGACTTAGAAGTATTCTTCCTTTTAATATCAGGGAGTTTGGTAACAATACTGAGTATTTACCTGTTTGTCTTTGACTTCAACAAAGAGGCTAACTAAAATCATTACAAACAGTCATACTATCATTTCAATGTACATGTAATAATTACCAGCCTGCTCAAAGCTTGATATACTGTATACAGGGAAATTTTCACCCCTGTTTTATTTTCACCCCTTTTGCTAAAGTTGCAAGAGGGAGAATTTAAAATGCAGCCAATGAAAAAGAGGACAGAATTACCTCTTTAACACAACTGTTTCTGGGTGAATTAAAAACTGGCAATTTTTTTCTCAAGCATGAAAAAGCAAAAATAAGCATGTACACAGTACATGTATATCATTTGTTACTTTAAATTTAACATATAAAATTTCGGTCCTTATTTTCCAATCGTTAAATGTTATAACTTAAAAGGTAGAAAAATAATAATGTAGAAGGAGATATTCTCCTGGGGATAAAATTTTGTTGATTTGTGATACAAATTTCTTGGAGACTTAATTCCCTTGTGACTTGTTTTATAAAAGAACCACATTATATATGCAACCATATTAAAAATTTCATTAGGAATCTTATACGCTTTATAGAAGATATCAACAAAAGAAACTAAATTTAATCCTGACCAATATTTTTCAAATTACATTTATAGTACTTGCTGTCTGATTTACCTTTAATTCCAGATCTTCTACAATCTTTGGTCTCAGTAAACTTAACACATAAGATGCCCTGGAAAATTTAAAACCTGCAACATAAGAAATAATGCATGTAATGACTACTTTGCAAAAAAACTGATACAAAATTTTAAATGAATAAATAAGATTATGTTTTTACAAAATGAAAATTTTGAAAACCTGGCACAATTTCTTCTGTGACAGCAGCGCCTCCTATGACATGACGTCTCTCCAGCACACAGACACGCAAACCACTTTTAGCTAAATATGCTGCCTACAAATTTTATTACATAATTCGTTATTTAAATAGGTAAGTAAATATTAATACCAAGTATTCAATAGGTTTCTTCCTAGCAGACAATTAGCTTTTTTTCTCTTTTAATATATATTTACATCCAAAGCAAATATTATAAGTTATAAGTCAATTGTGCACCAAATTTTGAACTAATTATTTGCAATACTTACAGACACCAATCCATTGTGACCTAAAATGATTAAATTTTCGTAAATATAATTTACTTATAATCATTTCCATTTATACTTTAATGAAACATCTATAACTAGCAATTACCTGATTTTATTGACAGAAAAATTACAATACTAAATACTATGGGACAATATTTTTGCAGGGACGTTTGCTAACGGGATAGGCAAGTTTGCAATATCTCCTAAGTTGCAGGATTTTGTAAGTCAAATAATTATTGTCTCTAATGCTATCAAATATAACCTCAGAACAAAACCTTAATTTATCTGTCAAAAAATTATTCAATATTTGTTGATAACACTGTTTATATACTCATAATCTTAGTATAATTTTATTTCGAAATCAACACATGCCCCTGATGGGTCATATTTCTGATAATTCGCCATATTTGGTGGTTGTTTGCTTTAGATTTAAATTATTTTGCTGTGTTTGCTTTGAAATTTATTAAAACTTCATTCCAATTAACAAAAAGAATAAAGTACATTTATCCGAAAACAACTTTTTACTAGGAATAAATGTAGTTTGAAAAATTTGTAGTGTTGTGTTGGACATTTTGGTCAAATAAACATGGCGCTAAAGAATTTGCTTTTCTCATTAGTATATACATTCCTGACTTTTGCAAGTAGAAAGTTTCTTCGCAAATAAATTGTAGTTTATCTGACCCTTGTTTTGTGTACATCAGTATATAATGTCCATGTGAAATTAACCATTGGAATTATAGGTCTATAACCCCATGATCCCACTCAGTGTAATCAAACGTTTCTCAAAATCCACTGGCATTTATTCCTATTTCGCAATCTACCCGGATGTAATGATTGGCTCTGTAACTGTAACATGATTTCTAACATGAATCAATGACGCAATGATTTTTCTTCATACCTGCACCAACCACAATTACATCGTAGGCCGAAGACTCTTTTGAACTAAAGTTTGTTGAAGCAGTGGAAAAATGACGAAAGAAATTATAGCATTTCAAATTTCTTTGCTCTTTTAATGCATAACCAAGAAAACGTCTAAAATGCATTGTTTGACGGTTTATAGATGTTGATCCTAGGAGGCTGCCATTTCTAGGTCATGTGACTTTTATTTATTTCTAATGGAACACTGTAAAACTAGGGAAAGAACGTAATGTGATGTTAACAACATTTTTGTATAATTATACAACAATAACAACAACTCAGTAAAACACACGATTTTTAAGGGAGTAAAGGGAAATATGTCTAGATCATAATAATTCCATATTTATTTTTGAAAGTTTATTTCGACCTCATTTTACCCACTGCTTTAAATCATGTGATCGATCCCTGTCAACATTCTCAAATCGTCAAGATGGTGGATCGTAAGGCACTACCGCTAGTGATCATGACAGGGTTCTGGGGAGTTGTGGGCATTATACTACCAATAATTGTACATTTCCTAATGCGAGGATCGCCAAACAAAGGGTAATACAAAATTATATTGCCTCTTAAACTAGTAATTCACACATCTAGCTTCCTTCTTGAGGCCTTATGAGGTCTTCCTACTTTGCTTTGAATCATATGATGAGGAATTCCGTTGAATTCAGATATTGACTTGGATTTGATATTTTCACTGTTAACGAAAAAGGTCAATAATTTTGAGAATGTTGGTCTGTTCTTAATTACTACAATTATTATTCAATTATTGAATATTCGAAATTCCTCTAAAAAAACCTGACTTCAATTCCATCTCTCCATGTGGAGAATCGGGCAGGAATGGATAAGCCCTTTCGGTTCTGATCTGTCTGTAGCTTTCATGGCGCGGCTTTACTCCACGATAGAAATCTAAGGTGTTTTCCCTTTACTACATTCCTTCCATGGTTTCCTTTCCTGTGGTTGTCCTTGTTTCTTTCATCGCCGAGATGTCCATGATAAAGCTGTTCTGTCAGCCAATAGCAATTAAGTCTTTCTTGAAAGTTGGATGTTTACCATATCTTGGAGAGTCTCTGGCATGATCCGGTCTTCTCCATACTCCCTGTCTGCCTGTCCTTTTTTGCTCACAGTTGTCCCTAGATAGACAAAAGTGTCAACTTCCTCAATTGCACTTCAATTGCTCATTATCTTCTGACAAAGCCTTGTCTTTTCATGTGGATGTTTGTAGAGGAGAGTTAAACCTGTAATATTTTAACCTCCCCATAGATATGAAGTTGTACAAGTTTTTCCCTCATTCAATTTGAAACTGTCGGGGAGGAGAATGTGGAGGAACATTGGATTAGTGTTAACAGAGCACACATGGATGTAGAGAGTTACTTTAGTATATTCACCAATGAAATCCTTCTTTAATGCCAAAATTATTGATTTTTTAATTCTGAATTTCCTTTTAAGATTCATTTATGAGTTTAAATAATTTGTACAAATGAAAAAGTTTTTTACAAATGTTTTATATATTTTTCAGGATTGTGCAGTTGATGTTAATGATGACAGCTGCTTGTTGCTATCTCTTGTAAGTAGATGTAGTGATAACTTTGTCTGTCATGTGTTATAAAACCATATACTTGATTGAGCTAAAGACCAAAGAAAAATATATTCCTCAAGTTCTATTTTTTAATAGTAAAATTTAAAATCCTTCATAAGCACAGATTTTGTATTACTTCATTATATGTTACGAAATACAAATACATGAGCAATTTAAATATTTTTTGCAGCTGGTTATGTGCGTTCCTTTTCCAATTGAATCCATTGATTGGGCCTCAGCTGGATTCTGGTTTGATAGCGTTTATCCAGGCGGAGTGGGAAAATAATCCAGTAAATCCTAATGTAAGCATCCACAATCACAAAACTCAGACATTTTGTATCATAATGGTCAGTTCTTAGAATAGAAATGACATAGATAAAGTGTATTAAAATGTACTAAAAGCAGCAAGTTGGTCTGTATACATATTACTTAATGTTAAATGCATTTTTTCCTATTTCAGTGATTATTGAGATACAGAAGCATTAGATTAGTGATGATATCCTAGACTGTTGTACATAGACTGTGCAGTCCTCCGATACATCTAGTCACATTCCCGTGGACCGTACAGAACTTACTGTATCAATTGGGTTCTTTTCATTGTATAGGGTGTTTATATTGTTACCAGGCTTTTTGAAGTAAAGATATTTACATTGTATTAAGAATAATTTGAGGTCCTTCAATATTATAATTAAATTACATGTAGTTCTATTTCTTGTAAAAGTTCTCTGTTGGATAAAAACAATGAATGAATGACATATGCAAAATTCAGATTAGTTTGAATTTGAAATTTCATTCTTGATGAATGATTTATTTGTAATAGTGCACTTTTCTTTTGACATGTGTGATTACATTTCACCTTTTCATACAGATCATCATGTGACATTAAGTATGTGCATTGTACATGTATTAGAATTTGAGTTGTAAATAGGTAATGATTTTGAAAACATGTAGTACATGTATTTATACAAACGTATAAACAGAAGAATTGTTTTATATACATGGGTAATATATAAAATTTTGTTGAATAATGAATCAAACCTTTCTGTTATTTGTCACATGTTACCTTGGGTGTAAAGGAAAGAATCCTTGGGGCTGTTTTACAAAAGAACTTATGACTAAGACCAAAAACTTTGATTGTAAAATCTTGCAAAATAAATGATTCTGTCAAAAATTGCTTGCATAAATATATATTTTTCAAATTCTTTTTAAAAAGATTAAAATTATTTTCAAATAAATGTTAAAAAAAATTTATTTGCAGAATTACACTTTAGTCTTAGTCATAAGTTCTTTTGTAAAAACAGGCCCTTGTTTCCTGCATAGGGCTGATAATCCAGGGAGGATCTGTATATTTATGTGCTTTAATTATTGAATTGATAATTGGGGGAGGATGGATTCTGATGAAAATAATGCAGAATTTAAGCAGAAGCATAAATGAGAGAGATTGGCAACTCCACCATTAACAGGTTATTTGCAAAAATATGTGCTGAATCTGGCACTTTTTCTTGAAATAACTCTTAATTGATTTATATTTCTAAACTTTGTTCTATTATGTAACGGTGTGTACAGTCTGATTTAAACCAGCCCCCTTCTCCTTTCACTCATCAGGAGTGAAAGGAGAAGGGGGCTAGTTTTAATCAGACTGGAGTGTGTAGGATTTGTTACATCTTAATTACATAGATTAACAAAAGCAGAAGATGCAAATTAAAAGAGGTCAATAATCAAAATCTTGGAGATATGGTTAACCAGAGGTCTTAGAGGCCTAAGAAACTATTACATTAAAGAAATTACTGGTCATTTTAAACAATTTGTTAGTAGGATTTTGTATCGTTGCATTTAGATTTCTACAAATGCTCCATCTGGACAGACTCGAGGCATTGTGAATAATTCTCTAGTTACTGCATAAAGTACTATTGTATTCAAAATTCATTCTTACCGATAATTTAAAATAAGGTCTGAAATATAATAATTTTGAATTTTATTAGCCTTCTATTTCTTGACAGTGATGAATCTCATTGATATAAATATATTTCTGGGCTGCATTGAAGTCATAAAATCTAAGGAAATTTTAATGCTAGGTCAAAATCCCAAATGTTGGTCTTACTTAAGTTGCCACTTCAGATTTACTGATTATCTTTCTTTAAGTTGAAATATATGTAATTTTGCATTACTAATCATGTCTTCACCTGTTTGAAAAATTATAAAAAAAAAATTTAAACAAAAAATTATTATAGTCGAGATATCTGAACCCAGGCTACTATTCATCTGACACCTAGAAGCATTCAGTGAGCTATATAAAATATATGTAAATTATTGAAATTGGGGAATATAATCAACAGAACCAAAATCTTAATTAAATCCTTAAAAACAATAAAAATCATATACAGGACAAAAACACTGACCCCTAAAAATACCAGAAGTGAGGTCAGGTGCCTAGTACTGGTGAAAGCATTCCACCAAAGAGCTGTAGCTGGTACTGGTCTTGAACAGAGACGCTTAGTTTCAGGATGGTGTATTTTGTGTATTGTAGTCGTTTTTCTATGGACTGTTTAAATACACTCATTAAAATAGTATTTAAAAAAAATTGCCCAAATTAGCATTTTTTGAAGATATCACATTTTTGTACGTCTTTTTAGAAACAGAAATATGATAATCTTTCAAAAATGCTAATTTCAGCAATTTCTGATTTTTCTTTTAATAAGTGTATTTGGACAGACATCGGAAAACGCACAATACACAAAAGACACCATCCTGAAACCAAGCCCCTATGGTTTTTGAATGCAACACAGTAATGAAAATGTGTCTGCTATAATGTGACTCAAAAATAATGTGGCTCACAAATGGAACACAGACACAAATTTGATATTGCCTCTTTATTTTTTTTTATTTATTTTTTATGGTTACAATGATGCTTAAGAGAAAAAAATTAAAGGAATATGATATAAAAAATAATTTACTGAAAAACAACTGAAATGTAGAAAAATAAAATTAAAAAGAAATGTACAAATGTTTATAAAGGAAAAAAATTATCTGAAAATGTACTATTTTCTGAAAAGTGATAGGTTTAATTCATCATCTTATGTTACAAAATAATGTACACTGTAGTCATGTAAATTTGGAATTCCTACTAAAACAATAAATTACTGTGCAAATACTTCAGCTTTAAAGCAAACAAACAAAACTTAAATGGACGGAACTTAAAACTACATGTAATCAAGCTGGGTAAAAAAATGTGTTGCTGCAGATTTGCAAAGGGTGTAAAGAGCCCCATCATCCATTAACAATTATAGAAAATATGGTGTACTTACAGGTGTAAATAATATCACTCTACAAGAGATGCTTTTCACAGATTAATTTTGCTGTGTTTGCAGTAAGACAAAAATGTGAAATTAACTTCGCTGTGAAAGTAACATACAAAATGTACATGTAAACACTTGAGTGTCAAAACAGCTAGAAAATTGTCAAATTTGGACCAGTTGTGAGAGCAAAAATAGATTTTCTTAGAAATTGTGCAAAATAACTAAGAATGAACCATGTAAAATACATGTATAGGTACTGACTAAATTTATATTACAATAGTCATTAATATGTATATGATAAACACGATCTATCTTTAAGTGACCTACATGGACAACCAACTAATATGCTACACTCCTTGTCATAATGTTCAACCATTTTTATACCAATGGACAGAGTCATTATATCAAACTTAATCTAATAATATTGTTCCCTGGATAATGGGTTTTAACAAAAACTTTTGAGGTAATAAATTTCAATTTTTATATTTTAATCTCTTATACATGTATGTCTTACTAATTCAAAAATTTAAGAGAAGTAAAAAATGCAAAAAGTAAAAAAAAAAAACAAAAACAAAAACCAAAAAAAACGCATATAACAAGTTTGATTTTAACAGTTTGTGTAAAGTGAATGAAAAAAATCAAATATTGGATCATAACACCATTATATTAATTTACATGATACATTTACATGTAATGTGTAAATAGAAATATTTCAGAAATTATAAAACTTATCACTTAAACATAACAAATAGATTATAGATGTATTGTCATATTAATTTATAAATGGGTCACAGAATTAATACATGTAACCTCTCTTGTTCAGAAATAGTAGTTCCTAAAACTTAAAACCCTCATCCAGGTAATAAAAACTAAAACATTCTACTATTGGGAAGAAAAAAGAATTGAAAATAAAAATAATAAATCAATAATTGATGCACTAGTAACTTCCAACTGAATAAAAATGTATGGACTGAGTAAACATAAGGTTTATCTATAACAGCTGAGCAACAAAAAATAAAGAATTTAAATGACCTAGACAATTGTTTTAATTTCACAGAAGATCTTCATCATCATCATTTTGAATCCATCCCTCTGTGGGTTCGGGGACAACTGCTGACCGACCCTGCTTTTTCTTCTTTCCCTTTCTGACATTACCCCCTGAGGAAGATGGACGACCTTGACTGGGCTGAAGGTCATCAACACCATATATATCTCCTGCAAACATTTATAATAATTTTTATTCAACTATATTTTTTTTAAAAACCTGTACTTTACTTTTGTAAACTGTGCAAATTCTGTATTCCTTATCATTAAAAAAAATCACATCCATTATTAGTCAAGAGGATACATGATCCCTATGAATGTTGTGGTTATTTATGTTGTGCAAAGTTTCTTGAGCATTAAAAAGAGAATACAATTTATGTATTTAAAATAAATTTACTTCACATAATGGTGTCAAACTATAAAAAAAAAAGAATTAAAAAAGGAATCCACCAATTCACTGTTTGATCTGTTTCAAGGGACTAAACTCTTAACAAAATCATGCAACTTAATTCCTTATGGAGGGTTATAGTTACTCACGTGATGCTAGGAAGTCTTCATCCACCCCATAATTCATGTCCGTCTTGGCCCTCTCTAATCCCTGCCTCAGCTCTTTACCCAGCTTCTTAGCAGCTCTGTCATTCCCTCCAGTATCTGTTTGTAACAGGATATATTTTAATCTTAAAATATTGAAGGATACTATACCTAATGGGCTATATAGGACTGGGAAAAGTTGACCCAACTGAATGAATGTTTTTCTGCCATTTCAAAGTTCATCCAAAGTTATTTTCTTACATAAAAAGCATATTCTCTAAGAAAAATCTTGGTGAAAAATGAACAGAAAATGAAAATTGAACTGCCTATGGTACTTGAGGGCTGTACATAGAAATCATTATCAAGCAAAAAAGTCAAATTACCTTGAACTGCAGATTTTATGGTACTTTCAATTTCAGAATGAGACATGCCACTTGCTGCTGTTAACTGTGTCAGTAATTCCCGTTTCTGGTTCTGTAATGAAATAGAATTCCAACTAAATTCTTTCCAATGCTTATGATATAATTCTCCTTTAAAGCATCATTTTTCCTCTTTTGAGAGATATATTAACACAGACAGCTCTGTTGACAAGGAATTGAGTTTTGAATAAACTTTCAGTAGTACCTGTGACTTGATTCTACTGACAGTAATTAAGTTGAGTTTACCTCAAGTTCTGTCTGTAACTCGAGCTCCAGTTGTTGGTTGAGTTCCTCCTTGCTTCTCTCTAATTCCAGCTTCATCTCACTCTCAAGTTCTTCTCTCTGTTTCTTATGGCGCTGCTCCATAAATGCCGTGTTCAGAATATTACTAGCTTTACTGTGAAACAAAATCAAGAATAGTATGTATACAGTTCTATATCATGATTGGTGAATTAACATAAAATTTAAATTTTCAAATACTTTTTCCTAAAAACTGGAATACCCCCTGACAATACTGTTTATAGAAGAGAAAGGAAATTTTACTAACAATAGGCCCATGGGCCACATTGCTCACCCGAGCATTTTTGGCTAGAGAAAAGCAAAATCAGTTTACTTAATAGTATTGAAAAATTTAAACATATATGTGGTCCCACTGTACCCCCTCCCTTGGGGGGATTATTTGAACAAACTCAAATCTACACTAAATGAGGATAACTGATATTTATAAGACTAATATAATGGCTTCAGAAGACTTTTAAAGATTTTTCCCTATATTCTTATATGTAAAACTTTGATTGCTTATTGTGGCCTCACTGTAGCCCTTGGGGTCATGATTTGAACAAACTTGAATTTACTCTATATAATAAAGCCTTCACTTATAATACATCTCTCTCTTCTGGCCCAGTGGTTCTGTTCTGTAGAAGAAGATTTTTAAAACATGTCTTTAGATTTCCACTTATTCTTAATTATCTCCCCTTGAAAGAGGGTGTAGCTCTTCATTTGAACAGACTTGAGTTCCCTTCCCCCAAGGATGCTTTGTGGCAATTTTGGTTGAAAATGGTCCTGTGGTTCTTGAGATGAAGTTGAAAATGTGAAAAATTTACAGACAACAACATGCCAGACAACAAGCAGCTGACAACAGATGGACAACAGACACCCTTAGATCAGAAAAGCTAACGTGAGTCTTTGGCTCTGACAAGTGAACTAAAAAATGGAACCCCCTATTGACAATACTGTTTTAAAGAAGGTACATTTTCCATAAAACTGGAACACCCTGACAATACTGTTTCATAGAATAGGAAGGAACTTTGAGATGAGCCTACCCTGCCCCACGTCTTCTAATTGAAGAATTTCTGTTGAAATCCTGTTCATCCTCTATCTGCTCTCTTAGTTCCCTGGAAACATCATCATTAAATAACTTTAAACTACTTTGCATGTAAATAATCTACACGTACATGTATCTACTAGATTAGTATAGATTTTTTAAAACCATTATATTTTCCAACAGTATGGCATATTTTAGGAATTTCAGTTTCAAATTTCCATATTTAATCCTTCTTTTGTGTAGTATTCTAGGACTAGAAAGCTCATTTTGATGCATATACAAGTATATATGCTATGACAATAAATACATGTATCAAATATCATTGAGGCAATGTTTTAACTGAAAACAAAAACAATATAGCATTCATTTAAGTATAATTATTTGTTAGTTCCACAAAGAAAAGACTTGACTAACAAGATTTCCTCTAATGGAGACTTACATTTCCTTCTGATGTTTCTTCGCCATGATTTTTTCCTTGATGAGGTTTTCCTGATGTTCCCGGGCTCGCTGTAGCTGATCGTTTAATTGATCTACCTGAGATGAGTGTTGTTGTATTATAACATCAACTCCAGACAAACGACTTCCCTCTCGTGTCAATTTGTTCTCCAGTTGCTCCTGCCAAATATCAGATTCACATGTTTCGGTTTACCCTTCTTATTTTTCTCATGATGTGCAAAATAATTAAATCAACAATGTATTGAACAAAATATACAATCATGTGAACTCCAATGTCTTAACACCTGTATGTCGAATAAGAAGGATAAATGCAATCCATATAAAAATGAATCAATCATATATGGCCCTGACTTTTTTATGAATTCTAGTTGAAGCTTTAACATCTTGAACCCTTAGCTATTTGTTACCTTAATTTTTTTAATTAGTCCTAGTCTTAGTTTTAGATACTGAGGTAAATTGTCTATAATTCCATTATAATCAGGTATCAGGTAAATTACCTGTAGATTTTGTAAAGTTGCATCCTGCTTGCTGAGTATTGCTTGTCTTCGTGCTGCTCCTACTTCTAATCGTCCAATCAGCTGTCCTAGTCGTTTCTCTTGTTCGTGTAGTGCCTCCTGAGTCTCGGCAGCCATTCTCCGCCTGAGGGCCGCCAGAGCTGCATTTCTCTCCTCCTCAAGTCTCTTCTCCTCTAATTGTAGCTCAGCATTCTGGTAACATAATTTACATTAAAAGTACTGGAAGGACTGCTACATGTAACATGATTCATACACTATAAGATAGGGGCTGTAACACATAACTGTTATTATACTGACATTCAGTTTGGAGTTGCTAACCCAAAAGGATACATCAACTATACCATGGATAATTGTCGACTTATAATTCTAAGACTCCATTTCAATATACACAAGTACTGAGTTAGTTTTCTTCAGATATCATTAATTGTTTTCAATCAATATTGATGGAAAGTATGGATATACTGTGGTTTCATTAATTTTCAGTGGGATCAAATTTTGTCATTTTGGCAAAAAGTACAATTTCGATGATGTAAAACTCATAAACACCTATAGCTAAATTAATCTATTCATTTATTAATAAAATTTGCGGTTCATTGATCACATAACTTTCTGGTCTAGCTGACTCAACCTAGTGAAAATGACAAAAATTGGAGTTGAATAAAAAAAGATGAAACCACAGTAAAAAGTACTAAGGACAGTTGTCCAGATTTTTCCTCTCACCAGTTGCTGTTGTAATTTCTCCCTCTCCTCTCTGTTCGCCTTGGCTTTGTTCATCAGAGTTTCTTCCTTTTTACGTCGGACCTCCGCCATTCTGGCTCGACGCTCCGCCAACTTATTCTCCAGGCTGCAAATATACAGAGATTGGTAAGATTGACACAACTAATGCAAATCAAAATCATACCTGTACCTATTGATACAGTTAACGGTAGATTATTTTATGAATTTTTTAAAACAGGCATACATGTATACTTTTATTTCCAGGAAAAGAGTTATAGCAGACCTCCAGGGAGAATGAAATCTACTTCATTATACATGTACAAGTATCTTGCTTCCCTATATATACAGTTTAAATTTCATGACTGTGCAATACTTGGTGATAAAATTTTACTTTATCATGTGCATGAATTCATTATGTGTGTGTGTTTTCACTGTAAACACTGATTCACTATTTATGTTAAGACAAGTCATAATTTTATACATTTGAACTTTGATATCTTGAATGTCAGTAAGTTGAATACCATGGATATGTCAAAGTGATTTGAAAGTCTCTAAAACTTTTTCCTACTATATTTTAACCTCAATATCTTCAACCCGAGGATATATCTCGAAGTTTTTTTTCTCAGTCCCATCAAATTCAAGATAACAAGGTTTTACTGTAAACATATTATCTCTTCTTAATTACAGAACTTGGGAACAGTTACCTTTTCTGTTGCTTGAGACGACTAACTTGTAGTTGGTTGTTGATGACCTGCAAGTTATGCTCATGTTCTCTTAAAATCTTCTCCTTGGCCCTAAAAATATGAATATACCACAATAAACCACAGAAATAACTTAAATGCAATAATTTAAAAACATTTTCACACTGTGAGAAGTGTCTAATTCTGCATACTCTTCAGTGAGCTCCAGACTAGTGGTCAGGACTTTGTTGACTGTCGATGTCTGCTGGACGATGAGAGCTTCCTGTTCCTGTTGTTGTGTTTCCTCTTCTTCCTCCAGTTTCTGTAAATTAAGATAGAAATTAGGTCACAAAAATGACTTCAGGACTCCCATGCCCTTTTTTTTTTTTTTTTTTAACAAAAATCTGGATCCATCCCTGTTTTAAATTACCTCTTCTTACGATAATCATATTTTAGAGCCTTTCAAGCTGCGTTTTTTCATTCACTAATTCAAGTACACACTAATATGTGATTAAAAGAAATACATGTACATGTATATGTTAATTATTTAGGACTTGAGTGTGGTACCAGAAATTTACGATTTTAATAATCAGTTGAAAAGAAAGACTGTGTTAAATTTTTAGTACAATAATTTATGTATTTTTACAGTATATCTTACATAGTCTTTTCAAATGAAATAAAGATTGTAACTATCCTAAATGTGCTAAAAATACATTCATAAAGAGGAAAGCTCCGATTTTAGTTTTAGTCTAGCTCACTTACAGCCATTCTTTCATTCAGTCTTTCCCTGAGTCTGGCTGCAAACTTGTTCCTTTCCTCTAGTCTGTCCTCTGCAATATTAGAAAAAAAATCATATTGCTTAAGAGCTCAACATTAGATAAAATACAATGTAATAGTCATGTCATTGTTGTAAAACAAGTGATAATTATTTATAAGTTATAAGGTCTTCATGATATCTCTATTTTATCACTGGAAAAACAATGCTAAGAGCTGCCTAAAATAAATCTTTGTACCTGCAAACATCTTTGTAGCAAGATTCATACATTTTCCAAAGCTCAACAAAAGTTCATACGACACTGTGAGATTTATTCTAAAACTTATCAAAAACCTAAGGATCACAACATTCAAACTGATATCAAAAAGTAATAAATCTCTTTAAAGGGACACAACTCTAACAAAGTCACACAATTTAACTACTGTAAATCAATCAGAATTAACCAGTCTTGTCTAAGACAATGCTTTGCCCATCCAAAATTACATGTATATGTATGACATTCAAAAGGGTTTATGTACATGGAGGCTTTGAAGTGTGGGAGGGGGTTTCATAAGCACCAGTGATAATCGTAGACAGAATGTTCAACTCCTCCTTTCTTTACATTTCTGAATACTTAAAAACCCAACATTCCATTTAATTTTATAATTCAATTTCAATTACAAGTAAAGCAAAATTATAACGGTAGATCTTAAATTCTGACCTTCATACTGTTGCATTCTCTTCTTATGTGCCTTGATCAGTCTATCGACATCAAACTTGTTGTCATTTCCTACAACCTCTGTAATGGTGGACACCATCTTGTCATTGAAATTCTCTATTTCTTTCTGCTTCACTTCTGCTTCTTCCTGTAAATCATATCAGATGACCATCAGAAATTTTTCTGTTGTTTTCAACTTCATCAAGTTGTCTTATTTATCTATTCACTTAATAATAATATCAAGTTATCTATTGCCTCATATGCTATAATATGTCAAGATATCTAGTGAGTTAAAAGTATCCAATGACTTACAAGAGTCAAATTATCCAATGACTTACAAGAGTCAAATTATTTAATGACTTACAAGACTTAAATTTTCCAATGGCTTACAAGAGTCAAGTCATATATTTAAATTATTTGCTAACACTTACAGTTCTGACTTTGTCCAGGGCTTTTAATTCTTCTTGATCCAGTTGTAATTCCTTCTGATCCATTTCCTGTAGATGTTTTTCCTTCAGCTCTAAATAGTCCTATCATAGAAAGGAGAGACAAGTTAAATAAAGTAGACTAAAAGTCAACCTCTCTAAGTAAATAAAATATACTACTGTGACTTGACCAGTTTTCATGGGGTTTAATTTTCATTGTATTTGTGGTATGGAGAGACCGATGAATTCATGTCCTCCACCAAATGAAAACAACTTGACACATCTTTAGCCATGAAATAAAATCTTCATGTTCCAATGTTTTTTCTCAAAAAAAAAATATAACCACAAAAAAATAAGTGATTTTACAGTATACAACCAATTATTTTCTACTCAGTTTAAACTTACATCCACCAAGCCTTTAGTGTCTGTGGATTTATCCATGTTCTTTAGGAGGAGCTGTTCCTCTTTTTCCTGTTCTGCAGAGAGTTTCTGTAGCTCCCGTCGACGACGCTTGGCAAGTTTTTCCTCAAGAGTCAACTGCTGCCTCTGACTTTCTAAATAAAGATTTTTCAGAGGTAAACAAATATTTTCAATGAAGTATATATCTTTACAGCTTTAAGCAGCTTTTTTCAGAAAACAGTTCAAATCAGAGATACAGTTTTCGGTGTCTTTTCTTTTACATCAAAAATGGGAATCAAGGTTCTTATTAGCAGTGTAGAGTCAATACTCAATATCAAATGACTTAAAACACAGAAAGGTCTCTAATTTTAAAATTTTGTGAAGCAGCTGAAATCTTACCCAGTCTTACAATAATTTGTTTTTTTGTTTGCATGTTAAAATCTTATAAAGTCTTCGGTATTTATAAACTTAAGATCTTGCTAAGATCTCAACGTTTGGTCAACTGAGTGAGATTTCAAAAATGTTTCTGGCTTTAGTCAAATGGATAAGATCTTACCAAAGTCTCTGGCTTTGGTAACCTATTAATATTTACTCAGTTCTATGGATGCTCACTTTTGTCAAGCAACTGTAACCTTAATTACCAACGTGTCTGATTTTGTAACCACTTTGAGACTATAGGTCTCTTGCTTTTATCATTCAGTTACGACCTCATTGGGTCAGTCAGCTAAGATTTTGCCACTCTTTTTTTAAGCCAGTAAGATCTAAGTAAAATCTATTTTGTCAGCTGGTTCATATCTTACCAAGGTCTCTGGCTTTAGTAAGCCGGTTAAGATCCTGCAAGTACTCATTCAGAATCTGGTTTTTCTTCTTTTCCTGAAGTTTTCCGTCCTGTACCAGCTGTTTTAGAACGTCCTCATGACTTTCCACATTTTCAGTGACAACATCACTGTCCTGTTGATCCTGGAGTTTTCTCATGGCTATAATCTGTCTCCGCTTGGCCAACCTCTCCTCAAGAGCCTGGGTTAAAAAAAAGATATTTTACTACATTGCAGTAAATGACAACATTTCAGTCAGTCAATCTTAAGCCTCTGTCTGATTTTGCTACTTGCATGCATAGAATGATAGTTTTTCAGTTTTAGCCTTTTTCTGATTTTGAACTGTGCGAAGATTCAAGTGTGCAGAATTTCCATTTTTACCCTTTGCTGTCGTGACAACTGTAGAGCCTGTTTTCTGTCTACTTCAGACATTTCTGACAATAACTTCTCCATCAGGGCATCAATCTAATAATAATGAAATTTAAAAAAAAAATCAATAGGGTTCTATCAACTGCTGTATACAAATGATCACAATATACTATAGGCAAACCTGAGTATTGCAAACATGGGGGATGGGGGATTTAAAAATGTCACAGTTAATAATTAATGTGCTGATACAAAGTACATACCTCCTTCTCAGAAAGGTCGGTCTGTTTATTTATCTCCTTCCTTATAAAGTCTCTCTCATCTTCGTGAAGACGCGCCTGTGCAAAATAATTAAATAAAAATAACAAAGCAAAAATAAAAAATACTCAATAAGAAATATCATAAAATCTAAAAGCAGTAAGATTTGGGGTTTCTTCAACTTAGAAAAGTACTCTGATTTATCTTGGGGTTTTACAATTTTCAAGCAGTCATCTCTCTTTTGTTATGTAAGTGCCCCAATGAATGATGTTTATATATTTTAATTACCAGTTTTTGATTAGTTTTGGCATCAAGTCTTTCTAGTTCATCTTCCATCATAGATGTGTCCTTGTCTTTGGCGTGACTTTGTCTGATAACCTGAAATGCAAATAAGAATTCTTATAGTGTGGGGTCTATAACTTATTCTTCTGCAAATGAAATTTTCATTCAAGTGAATACAAGTTTTTAGGAGAATTTTCTGAGAACTGAGGTTTTGCAGTTATGTTTACATGTACCTGCTATGTTTTACAAGCCATGTATATGGCAAATACCTATTACACAAGAGAATGGGAAGAACACCATTCTTCCATTATAAGCACAGAGCCTTTAATAATTTACAGTTCTTTACATGAAAGTTTTAGGCAATACATGTACATCTTTACATGTGCACTAGATTTCCTTTTTTTTCAAATCAATTTTGCATTCCAAGAAAGTTACATTGTTTAATGAAGTAAAGTAAAGACATATGATCATAATTTTTTGGCCTCATTCACAGTTTTGCAAAACGGTTCCCAGTACAAAAAGTGTATCCTAGTCAAACTATTTTTTCTTCAATAGGAAAACTGAGACAATACTATTCTTTCTAAAGATCTGAAACATACAGTCCAATAAAACAAACAGCCCCCACCTGTTCCTCTTCCCTCCTTTCATCCTCCAGCATCTTCCTCTTGTTCAGTAGATCTTCCTTCACATTCCTCTCTACGATTGACCGGGCAGGATCCCCCACCTTCAACTTCTTTAGTTGTTTTTTAACCATATTGAACAAAACCTATGGAATATATTAAAATATCATTTACCACAAGGTCTACCTGCATTTATATTTTTCAAAAAACACACTAGATGTTCATGATCAACAAATCTTTTTTCATTGAAACAATATGATTAAAATAAGAACTGATAAGAAAACAATACCAGTAGTTTTTTATGTTTGTATTATTTATATATCACTTTTTAAAAACAGGATATTTTATCAGAACCAAAGCAAAAATTGCAATGACTGTGATAAAAATGTCTATTGTAATTAGGACCATATATGATGCATACTTAAACGACGCTTAATTCTATCTTGAATTCATGTAATTGCCGGGATAGTTAACATGGACTTTATCGTTAAAATCTATATTTCTACGTGCCTGGTCTTTTGCAGCCTGTAAAGCTCTCATCAAGGCATCAACTTTCTTTAGATCTTGTTTGGTCATCTCATTTTCAGCATCCTCACTGTAAATAAAATGAAACCAACAACATAAACAACACGAAAAATTACAGCATCACCTTAAATTACACACCTGAAAAAGACAAAAATTAATATCAACTCTGTTATTTTCTATCCTGTGGAAATCAGTATCTGGTCAAATTTTCCCAGATCTAGAAGAACAAAATAAAAATACTATAAAAGCCTTCAAGTTGCAACATTCTCTCTCACCTGTGAAAGTTTGTCATGATTTTGCCTAATCCTTCAGCCCCGTGGAGTGTCTCTGTGGTCAGTAATGGTCCACCCTCCCCCTCTTCATCAGATCCCTCCTCTATCTCTCTCCTCGTCAATTTCTTCACCTTTCTTTCAGTCTTGCCAGACTGTCCCCTACCCTTAACTTTGTCTCCTGTATATTTTGCTTGGACAACATGGGTTGGTGTTTGGTTCTTCTCTAATTCTTTCAGCATAGCCTCCTCATCTTCTTGTCTCTGTTATAAACATTGGAATAAAATAAAATTATATACACCCTTTTTCTTGTAATTAATGGTCTCACAATGCAAATACAAGATCATTTTCTTTTTTTTTTAATCTTTGTTTTATTTAATTTGCATTTATTTGTATATTTAACATGACAATTTGTTTAATTTTCTTCCCCCAACTCTATGCATTGATTTAAAACAAAACCTGGAATATTTTTTTCAAATAATGAATGTAACATTTCTATTCTTCACAGGATCATTTCATAATCACAATAATATTTAAACATTCTCAATGATCAAGTTTTTTTTCGGCCATATTACCACTAAAAACACATCACAACAAACATTATGTCTCTGACTGAATTTAATATTGAGTAAAATAGAACGTATATTTCTGAAGAAAAGATAACAAAAGAAAATAATTTATTATAATAAATCACATTTTAAAAAAAATTGTACATTTTCATTTATTTCTGCATGATAATAATAAAAGTAAAAGTGCATAGATCTGTTAATGCACATCATTTTAGATTGGATATAGACATTTTTTATTCAATGATTCACAGCACAAAATGAACAGAGAGACAAGCAAACTTTTACTTTTTTCTTCTCCAGATCCTTCAGGCAAAATGGGACACATATTGCTGTGAGCAGAGCACCCAAAAATAAACCCAGGAAAAAGGCACCAGCCATCCAGCTAGAATCCACAGAGAACTGATCCTGTACTAGGTTAACTACGGCTGGAACACACACATCAGATGGAGAATAGTAAAAGTAATTCCCCGAGGAAGCCATGATCACTTTTTTCTCTCTTTTTTCTCTTTAATTAATTGACATCTGAAATGAAATAGTTCCCCTTGTGAAACGTATCATATTCACAGGCACTTGTTTCGGTAATAAATTTTTAACCCATAGTATAATAATAACACAAGGTATCTAACTCCGAATTACACGGAGTACCCCCCTCCCCCGGAATCGCACTCATTTACACTTTCAGAGGAAATACACTGACAAACTGTTTATACCTATGTTTTCTATGGTAATTTATCTACACAACCATATATGGCATGCTTGTCTTTATTTTCTTTAGTCTCTGTAAACAGCGTCAAACTCTGCTCGCCGTATGGAAAAGTCGAATTCAACCATGAAATGGTATATGTGCTAATCCCGCACAGAGAACAGAATTAAAAAATGAGTGGGTTTAAAAATTCAATTCCAGTGTTTAAATATTGCATGAGTAAATAGAACTTGTATACGTCTGATTTTCCCTGAAAACATTACGATGTTTATCCGATGTAATTTTACAAACAGATTTTTAGCCAATCAAAATCATTGTGCGGGATTAGCACATACCATTTCATGGTTGAATTCGACTTTTCCACTTGACGAGCAGAGTTTTGACGCTGTTTACGGAGACTAAAAAAATAAAGACAAGCATGCCATATATGGTTGTGTAGATAAATCATCGTAGAAAACATAGGTATAAACAGTTTGTCAGTGTATTTCCTCTGAAAGTGTAAATGAGTGCGATTCTGGGGGAGGGGGGTACTCCGTGTAATTCGGAGTTAGATACCTTGTGTTATTATTATACTATGGGTTAATTAAAAATTTATTACCGAAACAAGTGCCTGTGATCATATTAGATAAAATGTTCTATCGTTAAAATTTACTCCAAGAACTAAAACCTAAATATTTTTTAAATTACAAATTCAGAGACATCTTACCTTTTACTACACCAATTCTTTAGATTTTACGGTGCTATATATTGTATTGACACGTTCAGCGTTTAAAATTAGACGCCATTTGTAAATAATGTGTTGCGATGTCCGGAGAGAGAATAAAATCAAAAAATGACGTACGGAACTCTTGATTACTGTACATCCGTTTACAATGAAAAGTTGCGCGTATGTATTTTCAGTCGATGTTTTAATATTAGAGGCTAAGGGTATTTTCACAAAGTATGTAAAGCATGATTTATCAGAAAAAAGTATTCTTAAGAATTTCAGAAAAAGCAGCGTAAATCTATGAATGATTCCGGTTAGTGTTTGAACCGAGTAGATTTGATTATTATGCACACTTTATTTACTTCCGTTGCTATTCTAAACATGATCGCACCTGCCTGATCAGCAAGAAAATTGAATGATGGACAAGCTACTGTGATTTAAAAACATTGACAGGTATCGGTATTGCTTAGAAAAGTCTATTTGTTTTGTTCAGCACGTTTTGTTTTTGGTTATTGGTATATAATTAAAAAAAATATTTCTTATACCTGGATTAAACCCCTGTATTTCCAACTTACTTTATACTGTTATACACGCATGGCATAGAAAAACAAGACTTTTAACAAATATTTCACAGGTACAGTGGAGTCGCCAATTCCGGGTCGTCTCCTATTCCGGGTCACTCGTGTGTATTTTATGCCATATTGTTAAAATTAAAGCGCAAAAAACTTAATAAATACACTGGTCTTGAAGAATTGGTCTTTCTGTCTGTTATCAATAGCAAAATTTTGAAAATCAACTTTAAGAGAGCATCCGAGAAACGAAATTATGAAACACGCGTATTGAAGACATGGATGTTTGTGCTTCCTTGACAGGCTACTTTCGTTTTTGTTCGCTGCAGCATGGCTGATATAAAAGTTCTAAATAAATAATAATAGCTTGAAAGTATGGTACATACATTCAGATTTAACTCAGAAATCGATCATAATGACAATTTCTCAAATAAAATTACACTGATTAATAAATCAAACTGTAGCAGTTTCTCCAATTGCGGTTCATGTAATCTCATGGCATATGGAACATGTCGAAACTCAATGTACAAAACCTAGTGGCAACCGCGTGTATTTACCCTGATTTTTAAAAGTATTCTACCTGTGAAATATGTGTATAAAAAATAAAATTGAGTTTACCTTGCAAATACATTTTTTTTTTAAATTTTAATCACAAAATAATTATTTTTATTCTGAATCCTCATTGTTATCTGAGGCTGTATTTAACGTCCAGAAAAATCAATCATTTTTCTGTAATTTTCCTGTAACATGTGAGAGATTACAGCTGATACCACTAGACAACCGGTTCCAAGTCCCTCCCATACACACCCTCACCCCACGCCTGCCGCACAAAATGAAGAGTTGTTGGATGGGATAGTAATTAAATCCTTGTAAATTACACATTTTACGAAATAAAAGATTTTTAATTCTGAACTCTCTGAAATAATAAATAAAAAATACTGAATATTCCAGAGGACACGGAGATTAAACCATATTCTCAGTTCTTTTTCATATTAATTCTAACAGATCCATTTATGATATAGTCATTTTTTATTATTATTGATTTTTTTATTGCATATTGCAATTCGTTTTTTTTTTTTTAATAATTGAAACTGTTATTTTCTGTGATTGTTTATGAATTTTCTTAGCTGCATGAATTCTTTTCATGCTTCAACATCATAAAAATCGTGTTCCCAAACGATCCCTTCATATTACAAGACCATGAAGTCACATGACCCGGAAATGGAGAAATTGATTCATAAGTGGGGAAACTAGGCCTTGTTGAAATACGCCCGTAAATATTGTTCCCGTTTACCTATTTTGAAAATAAAAAGTCTCTTGGATGATTCACTATTTGTACTTTTAATGCATATGTTGCATAAAATATAAATCGAACAACTTTGCAAAATATCAACCAGACAGCCTGACGTGACCCGTAATTGGCGACTTCACTGTAGATCTTTCATCAAGGCAAAGTCAAACACGAAAATGTAAGGAAAAAAAATCTCATGAATGTATAGCAAATTAGGTAACTTTGGGAAGAAAAAAAACAGACTTTTGAATTAATGCATAAGTATACTCTGCTTAGGAATTTTTGTACTTAGGGCTCACAGTGTGAGCAGCACTTTGAGCTCACTTTAAATTTAAATGTTTAAACAGATAAATGAAGGATTTATAAGTAACCTTTGAGATTCATATTCTCAACATTATTTTCAGTGAAAACAAGATGTTGCTGTTCATTGTTGTGCAGCTCTCCCTGCTAGTGACCTGTCAGTCATTTAAAGTGTCCGATTTGACTGAACTTTATGTGGAAGATATTAATGTCACTAGAGTGGACAATTATGCATACTTTTACAATGTATGTGGTTTGTTTTTATTTTGTAAACAATGCAATATAGAATTTGAAATTAAAAAGAAAAAAATATGAATATCTGTTTGATCATATATGATTTATGTTTATTTTGAAATAAAATTCATTTTTCTTTTAAAACCAAAATAGTTAAATCAATCTTTTTAAGCATAACCATTACACATTTGTACAATACTTTCCATGGAATGAATTCAATATTAGTGGTAGAAAAAAAAAGTTTGAATAAATTTTCATTTAATATTTGCAACTTTTTCAGCTGCATACATATGCAGAAAACACATCTGTAAATCCTGCGTATGTGAATACATCTTCTTTTTTCACTGGTACACCCAATGTTGCCGGTTTAGTGGTGGAGTTTACTGAATGGAAAGTGAATTCCACTGGAGCCACTGTAAACACACTTCCTCTGCTCAAAGTCATACAGAGATGGGAGGTAAACTTTAATTTATAACTTACATTTTATATTAAGTATTTGATTATGCACTGAATCAGAATGAGATCCATATACATGCTTAACCTTTATGAGTCCTCTCCCATTATTAGGAAACTAACATAGTTTTGAGTCAAATAATAATGAAAACAGCTATGGAAGTAACATTCCAGTTATTCTAATTTCTAGAATTTGAGGTTTATGTTTCAGGTTAAACTAATTTTTGAAAATAAGTACTGGTATTCTAGTTCGAAGTCACGCAGAAATAGGAGAATACTCTTAAATTACTGTGAATCAATTTTTATTACTGAGAACTATTTTAATTTGTGTAATTATAAGAGACGGTCTGCTTGTGAAAATTTCATTTGTCAGTATGTTTTTATTATTAAGAATTATATTCAAAAATAACTGGAATTCATGAAAATTTTGTTTTAAATAAATACAAAATACTTTTCTTACAAAAATAAGGTGTCTCAAAAATTTCGTGATCTACAGTACATTTATCCTTAGTGTGCTCAGAAAATAACATTAATCTCAAATGATTACAAAATCAGTATTTAATTTTATTTTCTGCTGACAGCTAAATAGTGCAACAACATCTCCAGATACTGTCCTGGTGTCCATGGTGATCATCAACATAGGCACCATCACTGCCACCGATGTAATGGTGGAGTTTGATCTCAGTAATGGAATGTTTTCTTCGTACTCTACAATGGCTGTAAACACATCAGTAAATACTGAGATTGTGCCTATTTCTGGTCAACTGGAGTTCAAGTGGAGTCCTGGTAACCTTTCAGGTAAAGGAATTTTCAGATACAGTCAAACCTTGTCATCTTGAACTCAGTGGGACTACATTATGAGACCCTCATTTCTTGCTTTATTTCACAGCGGGGGAGGAGAGGTACCTGAGCTTTATTGCGACCCCCTCAGGAACAAATGGAGGAAACCTGCAGGCAGGAGACAACATTTACAAGGGCCAGCTGTATTTCTCTTATCCAGTGAGCTTTGTCTCTGATGCTTGATTTATCTAGTGATGAAGAAAATCCATGTCATTTTAAACTAAAATCACTAAGACAATAAGAATGCATATTAATTTTTTAATTTTATTTCAGTCTTCAAAATCAATATGCCATATTTGCATAGTTATATGAAAGTGTGAATAAATGCTTATATATAGATTCCACGGGTTTGTTTTGGATACCCTCAAGGTCAAGAGACCACAAAACTAATAGTTTTAAAGTTTGAACTTTTGAAAAATTTTATCTTTTTTACACAATTCTTCTGGACGGAAGACCTACTCATTATTAGTGAAAATAAGATCATCTCTATTTTTTTTTCTCTGTTAATTTAGAACATTTTGACATCAAGTGTTGGACCAATCAGCCTAAGTATGTGTGTCCATGGCATCCGAGATGTTGAAAAAAATGTAAGTAAATAATGGAACAAAACGAGATTTAATTTAAACAGAGTTCTGTTAGAACTTTCTATTAATAAAATCATTTGTCATAATTTATTTTGAGGGTCTGTGCAATGAACTAAGATGATATATGTCTTGTTTCAGATATTGTATCAGCATGGTTTTACTGCCTTGATGTTTTTCGTGGCTTTTTTCCTTGGCATTGCTTTGGTGATTGGAGCTGTTTGTTTGTTTCTGGTGATCAAACGAAAGCGATCTGTGAAAAACCAAAGCTTTACTCAGGTATTTAATGTTCCTAGGCTTATCTTCTCCAATAATATCATTTTAATTGAAACAGATTTTAATAACTATAAAGACGGATATACATGTACAATCAGAACACTATACAACCAGTTACAGGGAATTTTAATGAATGATACTGTGTTCTTTTTGCAGACAAACTTAAGATTGTCAACTCGAGGTAAAACTATACTGATGGATGACAGGGATGCAGACAAGACGGGCCACACCATTACTGACTTTAGGTAAGAAGCAGTGTCATTTTGAGAATGAGCCTAGAGCTAAAAATGACAATAAATTCTTAAATTAGTGCTTAGAAATGTAACATTCAGAACTGGTGCTCAAATTTATCAGTGCTAGATCTTATTCTCATTGATGACCTTCACGGTAGCTCAGTTGGTAGAGTGCTTGCTCCGTGGTTGGAAGGTCGTGTGTCCGCGACTGACCTAAGTCGATAAAAAATAGGTAGCAACTGTTCCTTCACCAAGGCTTGGCACTTTGAAGTGAAAGTTGCAGGTCCTTTGGATGAGACCTT